AGGGATTTTTTCAAAAAAAAAATTTTTTTCTCAGAATTATTCAAAACATATATAAATCGACTCAGTTTTTGCAGTACACATAACAATCGGATACGAATCCGATGTTTCCTCATTTATTTATGTTTTAAATTTAGCATATCGAACCGGAAAAAATGATTTCGATGCGCCTGAGTTCTCCCTGCGCTATTCAAACAATCACCAGAAAAATTGACTACATTATCGGCGCATGATAGTCACATTACAATGCGTTTTCATTAGTTTTTACATTATGAATAATGTTTTTAAATAAAGTACAACGATACAACACTTACCTGTATACCTGAGTAGTATATAAATTACAAATTTGTTCGTTTATGCGCATCCTAATAAAATTTTGTCCTCACTATTTCATGCCGCCACCATAAGAAACTTGTTTTCATTTAGTAAAGCAATACTGATCGAAACAATTTGATTGAGAGAGTCGAATCTAAAATTGAAAATGGTTGTATTATTCGATGATCCACGTGGGATTCCTTTAGCAACATTTCTTATGCAAGTCTTCATTTCATTAGTGGTATCTAAAATTCTTGCTAAATTACTTTCATTTATTCGACAACCACAAGTCATTGGTCAAATTATTGCTGGTATTATTTTTGGCCCGTCTCTTCTTGGTAAGAAAATAAAGTGACGCTAGTTCTTCTATTTCAAATGGCAAACATTCTTTTTACATGTTGTATAGGAAGTATTCCAGCTTGGAAAAATGCCATATGGCCAGAATCAAGCCTTGCTATATTTTCACTGATTGCCAATTTGGGTTTAATATTTTTCATGTTCTTCTTAGGACTTGAACTTGATTTGCATCAGATAAAAAAAAGTTGGAAAATCACAATACCTGTCGCTTTTGCTAGCGTTGTAGTTCCAGGTAAGTTCTCAAATATGGATGTGATTTCAAGTAAAGAGAACAAAAGAAACTTTTTGCACACATGTTTAGTGGGCATTGGTTGTGCAGTATCTCTTTGGCTCTATGATTTGAATGACAACTTGCCAACAAGTAAAGCAGCCTTCATTCTATTTATTGGTAAGTAAAAATAGGTGCTTATGATATTTCGCAGATTATATACTGAATAGGTTCTGGTTTCGGATTTTCTGCTTTTCCTGTTCTTGCAACATTACTCAATACAATGGGTTTATTGAATAAGCCGATTGGTGTTCAAACTATTTCATTAGCAGCAGTTGAAGATATTGTCGTTTGGGTTATCTTAGCTATAGCCAGTGCTTTTTCATTGGGAGGTTCCGCATTACAAGGTCTCTATACGTTATTATTAACATTTGGCTTTATTGCTATTATGATTTTTATTGTTCGACCGATTTTAACTTGCTTTCATGGCTATTATCTTCGTCGAGACAACGATACCAATATTTATCTGGTTGTTGTTTGTTTTTTATTACTTCTTGTTGCATCATTTACAACTGAAGTGATGGGTAAGAATCCAATACACCCTATGTATCAACTAGATCCCAGATAACACTCATCAATAGTGTTTTATGTAGTCGAAGAATTAGATTTATGAAAATTTGAATATTATTTTTATCCTATAGTTTCATTTGCATAGGTATACATGCTTTTTTTGGTGCTTTCGTCGCTGGATTATGTATACCACGTAAAGGAAGCTTGGTGGAGTTTTTAGGCTTACGAATACAACTAATTATTGTAGAATTTTTCCTACCGTAAGTCTTTTATATTCTACATGGTATTCTTTTTAAAAAGAAATCAATTATTCATCGATTTTAGTCTGTACTTTACAAACAGTGGTCTTCATACTCACTTAAATTTAATGAATACTGGTACAGCATGGTGGACACTAATTGTACTTATAATTTTAGCATCCGCAGCTAAAATAATTCCTGTCGCACTTGTATCAAAACTATGTTCGAAAAAATCTTGGTTCTATTGTCTTTCTATTGGTGTACTTATGAATACACGTGGTATTGTACAATTGGTTGTTTTAAATATTGGTGTTGAACTCGGTGTACTTTCACCGAAACTATTTGCCATATTTGTTTTGATGGCTACAATTTTAACTTTTTTAACATCACCTATTTTATTTTTACTATATGTACGTAAATTTGATGCACAAAAATCATCTAATGTTAAAGTTCCTGAAAATTTGAGTAATTCTACACAAGCAGACGTAAATGTGATAGAAACCACTATTAATGATAGTAGTATTCGAAGAGCGTCAAATCGTGATGTTAATAATAATTCATCGGCAGTCAATTCAGGCAAATTATCACGAAAATCTTCGACTAAAATATCTCCAAATTATACATTTACAACATTAGAATATCCAACTAATATTACGGACACGAATCTAGATATGGATGACGAAGAAAAAATAGAATCTGAAATGTTACCAAATCGAGCTAACAATATGACAAGATTTTAAACTATATATGTTTCCAGACAGCAAACGTGCGCTTTTATCTATTACATATGCGTATATCATAGATTGTTCTATATATACTTATGGAAAACAAAGCTATCTTTTTTTACTGTTTTTATTCAATAAAAAGTTTATGCTAATATCTCTCATATTCATCAGCGTTCAACAATCTTTTCTCGAACAAAATTCATTGTGATTTTTGAAAGGAAAGATTTAATTAGAATTTGTTGTGGCTTATACTCTCAATGATTATAATAGTAAACTGAAAAACACGAAGAGAATACGTCATCGAGTTCTAATGAACTTTGAAGACGATCAATTTGTTCGCGTTACACTAACTGAAACTTCTTCCATATGTACTAAAAATAATTTATCATGATTCCTAATAAAAATACTTCTAAAATTCACCCATTTGTCTCGGAAAGGTTGACTTTCATTATCTCTCAATTTTAATAGTTATTAAGAGTTTTATAGTGTATAATCGCTCAAGTGATTTATAAAGCCATTAAAAATGAAGATAAAGTCATAATTCTATTTATCACTATTTGTCGACACCAAAACAGTGTTCGTCGAGTCGACTTTGACAGTCAAAGTTTAACTTCACTTGATCAACTCTAATGATAAACATACTATCATTCATTCATCGATCACAGTTTTAAAAAAAATGAAATTTTGATGCATCGAACATATCAATCTGACGTCTTTTTTTAAACTTTATCTACGTATATTTTTGAAAAAGAAAATTTTTCACATTTCTCCGATTATATCATGCAGTACAAAAATGTTCAAAATTTTTAATAAAAGTTAATCACATTGTATCATAAAATAGTACAAGCTCGAGATCTAACCGTCGTAACTTGTCGACCAATAGCCATATTTACAGGAGTAGTTGTAATTGTAGTTGTATTAGAAGTTTTAACAGTAGAAGCTAACTGATATTTGAAAAAGATGGCTTGAGCAGCATCTTGAAATCGAAATTCTTCATAATTATCAGTATGTTTACTGTTCTTATGTAGAGTACCATCACTCATTCATTCTATTAAAGTAATATAATCTATATAAATAGATAAATAATTATTCTACCATCACAAACAACGTTGTCATGGTTTGTTTTTGTTATGTTAACCACACAACGAATAGAATGATAAAGATACTAGCACCATCTTTTGAAATAGATATAGGTAATAGATTTTCAACCAATGGAAATTCAAATTTGATTCTGCTTGCCTTTGTATGCATTGGCTAGTCAGTTATAGTTCAGTTAGGTAGTCATTTAGGAACAATTTACGTGTTTGTCAGTCAACTCCTAATAGACAGAAATATAATAGCAATGTCAGAAAAAATATTAACTGGTGAAGTAAGCAAAGTTGACCGATCAATTGATCGATTAAAAACGTGTCCATTATTATTGCGTGTTTTCTGTAACAAAGCTCGTCATCATTTAGCCAAGTTTGTTGTTTATTTGTATTTGAAACTTTTCAAAAAAATCAATTCTTTTTCTTTCGTCGTTAATAGGGAATACGAAGATGGACATACACCCGAAAATGAACTTCAAATCTATACTTGGATGGATGCAACATTAGGTGAATTAACAAAGTTAATTCAAGAAGTGAATACAGATGCACGTCGTCGTGGTACACAATTTTCTTTTTCAATTGTTCAAGCTGATAGTACACATAATCGTTATTATCTAACTGATATTGGAATAACTGAAAATGGTCCAAGACGAGGTGACGATCAAATACAATTAGCAAAGACACGTTTTCGAGTAGGTGATTATCTTGATGTTGCTATTATGCAAAAGAGACAAGAACAACCAGCAGCCAATCCACGACGTGATCGACCACTTCAACAATCATCTGAAGATAATAATAAACGACGTAGTGGTCCGGCTAATGAAAGAAATGGTAGTGGACCTGTACGTTCGGCTCCACGTAATGATCATCGGGATCGTCCTTATTAAATCAATTCAACATTTCATTGTTGTGTTCCGCCTTTTGTTTTTGTCTGGTCTTGTATATGTTGATTTTGTTCGTGAACATCTTTGATGTTTCTCTTTTGTTTGTTTTCTGTTGAATATTCCCAAGAAAAAGATTGAAATGATAAAAAATACTTTCTTCTTTAAGGTTATGAATCTGAATAAAAGGCATTGATTACATATCTATTCTAGAATGATAAACTTGAACTCGATAATGTACATAAATTATATTAACAATTGATTATTATCTTGTAATATTTCTGAATCGAATATTTGATAAAAACAAAACGGATATTTCCTTATTAAATGGCTTCAATAATGGTTCATCTAGTGTGATGAATGATATGTAATATTGTAAGTTTAAACTTACTGATTATTTTACGACTTAAAACCGATCTTAAAAGAAAATCTGAACAACAAAATTCTATTTCATGTATACGAGTATCGATTTAGTATTGAGTCTGACTGAATATTGAAAGCGGTTTCTTCATAACATAGTGGTACTGATGACTTTTTCTTTTCTATCATCTGATACAAAGAAAAATAGACGAGAAGATACTGTATCGTATGTTATCTTTCACCTTCGTACTTCTATTTTATTCTATCCTTCTATAAATATAAGGTACATACTAAGAATCTAACACAAAAAACATTTCATTATAGATGTCAAGGTTAAATAAATTAAATATGGGATCAGTGCAAATATTGCTTTCGATTGTTACTGTGATTTTGACTGCGATAATTGTACAATATTATGTAGCCGTTCGTATACCTGGTCCAATGGTGCATCCAATAAAATATAGAATTATTTCTGGCACTTTTGCATTCATCCTTGATATTGTAAGTTCGAAGTAAAACTAATATTTTCTTAAAATTTCAAGTCTTGCTTTTCTTTATAGAGCCGTTTTTTTGAATCAATTACTGGCTTTCCTTATTATAAATTACTCAATATAATTGTTGATTCGTTTGATCCTATTAAAATACGCCCATTTGACCATGGACAAGTATTGGTAAATAATGAAAATAAATTATTTGTTTTTTTATTTTGATTATTGTGATCGTTGAATACATAGTATAATGATCAATTTATTGATAATGTTCTTGTTCGAATTTATGCACCACAAAATGTATCGAGTACATTCTTATCACCAGTTATTATATTCTTTCATGGTGGTGGATTCTTTTTTGGAAGCATTTGTAAGCCAATTTTTATTTACTTCGATGAACATCACTATAGTTATTTATATAGATTCACATGATACAATGAATTATCATATGTCTATGTATACGGGTGCGACAGTCATTGCCGTAAAGTAAATTAATAATAGTTGAGAATGCCTACAAGTTAAATATTGACTAAATGTACTTCTAGTTATCAGTTAACACCTCATGTTCATTATCCAACACCACTCGAAGATGGCATCAAAGTAGCTCGATATGTTATTAATAATTATCAAGAATTTAATATTGATCCTACGAATGTCTTTCTCTCTGGTGATTCAGCTGGTATATATCGTGTAATTTTATGCAAATATAAATATAGATTCTTTCTCGTTTTTTGCAATTTCAGGCGGCGGTATGGCTGTAGTTGTTGAAAGACATCTACGTCGTGAACACAAACCAGTTATTCGTGGTGTTCTTCTGCTTTATCCTTTACTGCAACTTGTTAATTTTCGTTTATCATCATATCGTACTTATTTACCCTATCGTCTCTTATCATTACTTCGTGAGGATATTCTTGTACAAGTTACAAATTTTTATATAAACACAACATTTTCTGATGATGAATTATTTAATAATCGACATCTATCACAGGATGACTATAAAAATTTCTTTTCAAAATTAAATATAAGTAATTTAGATCAAGAAATAACTGATGATATTAACGAACATGGATTATTATCTAAAGCATCACATCCCGATACTTGGAAATTATTCGATGAAAATGTTTCACCTTTATTAGCTGATGACGAAATTTTACGTAACACTCCAGCGACATTTATTGTTGCTTGTACATATGATGTACTGCTATCTGATGCTCAATTATATTTTAATCGTTTACAACAATTGAATGTTACAAATATTATGTACAGAGAATATGCTATATTTCATGGTGTAATGACATTCGTCGATTTTCCGGTTGCTTTCAATGAAGCTTTTGATATTATTAATGATAGTGCTCAATTTGTAGTTAATATAACTACTTTAGTAAAGTAAATTTATTTTTATTTTTGGTTTTGATATAGACTGAGTAAGACGAAACTAAAACGAATGAGCGAAATAAAATATTATTTTACTGTCAGATGGATGTTTTATTATTGAGAGAAAAGAAATATTCATATTCAAGTGTGAACTTATTTTGTGTGTTTTATTTTGCTTGTTGATTTTTTTTTAATAATTTTCACTAAACCATTCATTTGAAACGAAAAATATTTGAATAATAACAATGAAAAATTTATCAACGAATTGATTTTGCTCTACAAATAGGAATGCATGGATTCTTTTATTTTGCTTCAGTAAACATGTTTTCAATGTATGCGATGATAAATTCTTGAATGATATATACCATCCTTAACAACAGTACTTTTTTATTTGTGTTTTTTCATTAATACGTAGTTTAAAATGAATGCTTTTTTTTAATTTTGTTCTGGCAGTTTCCATGTGAATGTCCTTGCCTATAAATTCGTAAAATAAACTGTTTCATGTCTGCTGTGTTGAAAACAAAACACTACAGAAAGCGAGCTAAGGTGATTTTGTTTATCGGTTAAAATGAAATGAAAGTCTGATCGATCTATTCATGATTTCTATCATTTGACATTATTGTATAATTCTAGATAAAATATGGCTCGGAGTGCACAACGTTTAGCTATCTTCGGAGCTATTGTAGCAAGTATTATTGGATACTTGTATCAAGCACCTAATATTGAAGGTATTGCACAAACGAATAAAGTACGACTGCTAGGTGCTACAATGAAAATAATCCATATGATTGTATGTAACATGTTGTTTACTTTATGCTGTGATATATTTTAATTTTGAAGGGTTCAGCTGCCGAATTACTAGGCTTGTCTACTCAAACTCTAGTTGTTCGAAAAGGTAGTGAATTATTAAAATACGTTCAAGATAAAGATGAAGATACAGGCCTTCAGGTAGCATATTTTCTCTCTCTATCGATTGTAGAGCTTATTTTGATTTTAAGATTGAAAATACATTAATCGAAAATGTACGAGTCAGAATTGTCCGACCATTGAATAGTAATGATAACTTGCCAGCCATTATTTATTTTCATGGCGGTGCTTTTTATATGGGTTCACCTGGTAAGTTTGATCTGCAATTATGAACAAATTTTTTCTAACTATATCTACTATGGTAGATACACACAATGGAATTACGAGTGCATTAGCACGATTAGCTAATGTAGTAGTGATTTCTGTTGAGTAAGAAAATTTTTTTAAAGTGCTTTATATTTATCATTTGATTTATGATGCATTGTATAGTTATCGTCTTGCACCTGAACATCCATTTCCAGCTGGTCTCGATGATTGTTATACTGTTGCAAAATATGTTCTTCAACATGGTGATTCAAAAAAATTACGCATCGATCGAAGTCGCGTAGCTCTAGCTGGTGATTCTGCTGGTAGGTTTTTTCTTTCGAAATCACTTGACAAAGAAAGAGTAGTCCTAAGTAAAAAAAAGATGAAGGATTATTTCATAAAGAATCAGACCTTTTAGTTGTCTTTTAATAAAGATCAAAAACTTAGCTGAACCTATTCATCCGATCGAGAATCTTCACACGTGATTTCCTTAGTAAACCTTCGATTTCTGCATGAACGATAGGCAACTAGTTGATGACTACATCAATACAAGAATCAATTTACCATATGCTATGCAATACATTATATATTCTCTATAGCTCACTATCAAGAGATATTTTTCTTCAATAGGAGATACTAAAACATTTTCCTGTTCATTTCAAATATGATATACTTTTATTTAGACTTTAGGTTCTGCGCTCGGTAGTAGAATAATCGATGTTTCCTAAAATATTTCTGTTTCTAGTGAAACATAATTTATTATAAGAGAAATATCAACAAGATTCGTTTTGTTTCTAAACAACTCATAAATATAGGCATATAGAAATAATTATATTTCAAAAAATTATTCATAATAGTTCAGTTGTGTAAAGAAAAATATCTATTGAACAGAAGGAAAAAGTTCAAGTTTATTTTTCTTTTTTATTTGTTTCTTGGCGTAAAACTTTTTCTATGTGTATTTCAGGTGGTAATTTTGCTGCTGTAAATGCCATGCGTTTTGCTAATAAACCTGTCGGCGAATATTTACCTCGTCTTCAAATCCTTATTTATCCTTTATTACAACTATTCGATTTCATGCTTCCATCGTATATTACACCGCATTATAAATTTTTTCCATATACTGTCGATTATACTCTATCAGCTTATTTGAATCAAAAAATCGATCCATCTATCTATGCAAATAATCATACAACTGTCAAGCAAAAGAAACATTATCGTAAATATGTTGATTGGTCTCTAATTCCGTCAAAGTATCGAACAATTTATAAACATCCTGTTACAGATGATAATGAAGGTTCTTCAAGTCTTATTGAATACGCTAAAGCAACTGTTACTCCAGAAATGTCTCCATTACTTGTTGACGATGAACAACTAGCTAAATTACCACGCACTTATATGTTAAGTGTTGGCCATGATAGTTTACGCGATGAAACATTCATCTATGCAGGTCGTCTTAAACGCCTTGGTCTTCCAATTGTTCACAATCATTATGAAAATACATTCCATGCTTCATTGAATTTTCTACATGGAGCACTTTCATTAGATATCGCACGTCAAATGATGGGCGATCTCGTTAAATATGTTAAAGCGAATTTATAGAAATGATGATTGGAATGTTTTTCATTTCATATTTGTACTGATGCTCAAAATTTCTTAATTATATTACTTCAAAAACAAATCTTTTTATATCACTCCTTAAAATTGGTTTGATCTATTCTAGTTATTAATTATCGCAATCTATTTCGTTCTAGTAAATTGCTTTGAATGAAGCAAATCGTGGTTTTTTTAAATAAACATGCAATAAATTTAACTATATTTATAAAATCTAATTCGTCTTTTCATTTTTTTTACTATCAAAATCGATGCTGCCGAAAGTGATGAGGTTGTGGCATTTCATCACCAAGAAAATTATCGCTTGCCTTCAATGGAGTCGAAAAATCTCTCCGGAGTTCTAATAGAAAATTGCTTCTGAATAGTTTCAGACAAATTGAGACAATCCGTTTCTTTTTTAGGTTGCTCCAGTCGAAAAATCAGATATAAAATCTTATAACAGCAGCTGAAATCATTCATAAATTAGGATGTCAAAAATCTTGTATTAGGTGATACTAAAAGATTTCCTATCATTTTATACTAATATCTCATAACGCAACACTATGTTTTGAGAATTTTATACTACAACCAAGCGTGAATTCTCTAAGCAAACATTTTTCATCTGATGTTACACACTTCAACATAGAACCTCATCAGCTATGAGTATTTTATTATTAAGTGTCACACAGAGAATCGGTGACATCAATTAAGAGCTTTTCACGTTGATATTTCTTATTATCTTTGTTCGACTTGAAGACAACATGTCATCAACATTGTTGTCTCCATCTTTTTAACATTAAAGACAATTGATGGTGTCCTTTCGATTAATTTGTTTCGCAGAGATATATCTAGAAAATGTATCACAGTAAATTCATGTAATTATTATTTCTCTATAGTTCAATCAATCTGTAGCAGTGGAAACGTTTTGATGCATTTCTCAGTAGTTAATTAGTTCATTTCTATATTTTAAATTTTCAGCATCATTGTAAATAGACTTTTCTGAAATCGTATGGGTTTAACAAATTTCTTAGCTGCAGATTTTCTACTTCTGCATATTTATTTGTCGTTGAATATTATTGCCTTCTTCTTTTAATTTTTCATCTGAACTCACGTTGTCATCGTTTACACATAGCTTCTTGTTAGGGCATTGGATATTTTAGCGATCGATGATTTGCTTCTTTACACAGATACCAACTCAAAATCATACGATATGAATTGATTTTAGATTCATGTCAGAATTGTTTTTAACTATAAATGTGCATATCTAGTTAGTAACTGTGTGTTGTGTGTGTTTGATTAGTCTTTTTGGCAATGCCGTTAAGTAATTACTTTGCCTACGTTGCCCGTACGTTAATCTTTCAGATACAACCAGCGAGGTGCTCTTTGACATAATGGTGGATTTCATGATAATAAGCAAACATATCAATAATATTTATCCAATAACTAATGATATAGACAGAGTCTTCAAATATTTATTATAGTAGTCGGTACAAGTATAGTTCCAAATGATGGCTGACTAATGCAAAAAAGAGTATAGATGCAACACAGTGCAAATAATTTATGGCTTTCCTTACCTATTAAACTCAATCTGAATTAGATAAGATTCTCTATTATTTCAAATTTTCACAAGTACTCTCATTTATTTTCAGCACACTTCAAAACTTATCTATGGAAAAGAATTTTACCCAATATTGTAGAATTATGAAGAGTGTTTCATACCGAAAACATTCCTTTGATCAGGTCATCGACATTTATTTTTTAAATACTATACCTGATCTAGTAATATAAAGAATTTTAAAACCAATACGATCGCCGACAGATTTATTGATAATTACAATATTTTTTATTTCAAATTCTATTTTCTTAATTCCATTATGAATTAGAGTTTGAAATGGTAATCTCAATAGATGTCACTTGCATTCAATGTTTCATAGTATTGACCCATGGTTTTTCAATGATTCGTTCTTTTTTTTTATTTGTATGAAAACAAGATAGTAATTATAAAAAAGAAAGGTTTTCCAATATAAAATAAAACATGAATATAAAAGCCAACCAAGAGTGAACTGAAAATATTTAATGGTCAGACTTTTTTTCATGGCCTATGAAACACAGAGCATACTAAAAACAAGATAATCAGTTATTTTAATTTTATGCATCATTATTACTCTGATCAATATCCTAGTTTTCTTATTCAAAATAGTCTATTTATCTATTCGATCTAGCTTTTATTATCAATATGGATGATCAATCAGATATCATTGAGTTACCAACTATCCCAGCTGATGCACCTGAATGGGTTCGTACTTTGCCATCAAGTGGTCGATATGTTGATCGTACTAAGCTCTATGATATAACTGGTCATATTTTATTTGATTCATTACTTAATTCAAATGGTATTCGGCATTTCTTCTTTTTTATGGAAAATGAACAACAAGCCCAGCGAGCACATAAAGCATACAGTGGGTGTTTACCTGATCTAGAGTCATCTAATCACGATGGCTCATCGACAAATCAGGATCTTTTCGAAGTTCGAGCTGCTTTTCATCTTGGCGAAGGTATTTGCGGACATAAAGGCATTGTGTAAGTTTCGCAAAAAAAATTCATTCACATAATTCATTATTGATTTTATTATCTTTGAATAGACATGGAGGACTTACAGCTACCATGCTTGATGAAGTTAGTGGTGCTGCGGCGTAAGTTAATTCATGCCAATTGAAATAAGAAAATTTATGAGATAATCATGTTTTATTTTCTTATTGAAATAGATTTTCTTGTGCTGGACCCGCTTTTACAGCTAATCTTAATATAAATTATCGTAAACCATTAGTAACACCAGCATGGGTTTTAGTTCGTGCTCATGTTGATCGCCATCAAGGACGAAAAGTGTTCATAAAAGCTACGGTCGAAAATGGAGAAGGTACGATTTATGCAGAAGCTGATGGTTTATTCATAAAACCCAAATTAAGTGTACAAGAACATGTTCAAAAACATCAAGAAAAATAGTGAATATTAATGTTTTTCTGACACAACCATATGGAACATTCAAGTAAATATTTTCTTCATATCTAACTTTTGTTAAAGAAACTAATAAACTGTGAACAAATAAAGTTTGGTTACAAATATTTTTTGTGGTATTTAGCAATCTTTTGTTATTGTTTTGTTTTTCTGTTAATTTTCCATTGTTCATGGTAGTATTAAAACAAATAAAACTGAAATAAATTATGACATGGTTTAAAATGTATAATTATTTTATTTCAGTTGTATCTCCAGATGAATATAAGAAAATAGACATTATGCAATCCATTTTTTTGTCTACATCTTATTTGGTCAATAAAAATGTATAAATATTTATTTTACAATTAATAACAACTACAAATGCATCAATGAAGACAACTAATATATGTTCTTTCGATACAATGTTACATTTTCTTGCTAAAGTTTTTTTTCTAATACTATTGATCTTTATTTACTGTGAATTTATTATTTATTATTTTGTGTTATTGGGCTGTTCGTGGTCACAGTTATCGAAAATCGATCAAGATTTTACAATACCATTATCTACAGATCCCAATAAGAAGCCATTACATGTTATGCTTATTGCTGATACACATTTAATGAGTTCACACGAAAGTCATTGGTTTAATAAATTACGTCGTGACTGGCAAATGCATCGTTCACTCCAATCAGCCATTTTTCTATTTGAACCACAAATTATTTTTGTTCTCGGTGACTTAACTAATGCAGGTCAATTATATTCAGATTATGAATGGAATAAAACTGTTCATCGTTTTCAAGATTTATTTTCTGTGCCATCTAATATTCGCTTATATGTGCTTGCTGGTAATCATGACATTGGCTTTCATTCTGATGTAACTGATAAGAATCTAAAACGTTTCGGTGAATCATTTCAAACGTCCTATGTTCGTTTATTAACTATTGATGATGAAATAAATTTTGTGCTAATTAATTCCATGGCATTCGAAGGTGATCAATGCCGTTTATGTGAAAGCGCTGATAATGAATTAAAAGAAATTCTTAATCAGCTTCATGATTCTGGTACTCGAACTAAACCAGTATTATTGTCACATTTTCCTCTCTATCGTTTGTCAGAGGCTAACTGCTCAAAATCATCTTCAACATCATTAAAAGTAAATTTATTGTTTTCATCTTCTACTAATTTAAAAGAACTACACATTCGAATGAGAAATCCTCGTGTAACCAAAAAACAAATGTTAGTTTTGACTGACTCTGAGACAAACATTTAAATTTTAAAAAACTTCAAATATCGTCAAGACTTGGCGGGCGATTAGATATTTCTCGAAACAAGCCACTAGATTTCAGAAACTATTCAGGTTTCTTTTTGACTATATATCTCTATAGAAATTAATTCCATAGTAGTGACACAGTCAGCTGATTTGTTTACAAATAGTTCATTTTTAACGTTAGAATGTTTCTTTCATTACATTTTTCGTTGAGTGCCTAATTTTAGTTAAATATCGAATGAACCTTGAGACTACATTGATTGTTACAAACAAAAAATATTATGGAATCAAACCAAGAACTCAGAAGAAAACAAGATTCTAACCGTAAAAACGAATTGTTGTATTTCGATAAATGTTTCTGAGAATCGTCCTAACGAACCAGTCGAGTCGTAAAGTTCAATATTTATTCTCAATGATATTCATGTTCATTTTGTTTTAGTCAACAATAGAATATCCCATGTACAGAGAGCGTTATGATGTTCTCTCACAAGAAGCAACAAAGTATCTGTTAACAACAATTAAACCTCGTCTCGTTTTTACAGCACATACACATAGATATTGCTATATTGAACATAGTTATAACGATGAAAAAACTATACAAGAATGGACAGTACCATCATTTTCTTGGACAAATCGAGATGATCCATCATTTATGCTTCTGTCCATAACAACAAATAATCAACGTGTATCACATTGCTATTTACCACGTGAAACAACTATTTTTTGGTCATATGCTATTGGGGGTTTTCTTATTATTTTTTATTTACTATTTGGAGGACGAAGACCATTTTGCTTAGTTGTTTGCTCTTTTTTAAGAAAAATATTTAAAATATAATTAAATAAAAAATGAAATCGATTCTCATTTACTACAGATGGTTGATACTAGTAATCGTTTGAATGCAATAATTATGTTCATGGCAGAAAAACGAGGCTTGCAAAAAACATTCTGTCCATCGGAAAGAGCTCGACAATTAGCCGTCATAGACGATGACCGACGTTTATTAATGGAACCTATTCGACCGGTCGCTACCGAACTTATTGATAAAGGTCAATTAGTATGCAAACAACGTCGCGAACTGGTTAATATTCGAACAGTAAAAGGATTTATTCGATTACAAATAGCTTCGAATTAAAAAATATTTCTTTATAACTAATACTTTATTTTTTGTCGAACTAAATGAACAACATTCTAACTGAAGCGTTGTAACTGTTTATCTATCATTATTGTATTAAATGAATTTGTTATTGATTGCAACAAAAAGCAGATAGTTATATTCTCTTTGAAACTTCATTTCTTTTTATTTGTGTAAAATTTGATCGATATTCATTTTTCATTTCTCTTTTCTTTTTTTCTTGTCAGAAGCCATTTTGTCTGGTGTATATGGGTGAATGTTTTTAAAAAACGAGTGTCATCAACAATAACAATAGTAATAACAAACGACAACAAGATTAAGTAATAAGTAGAAAAAACCAACCACACACAAACACGCCATTGCCTACGGAGGAGAAAAAGCAGAAGTCTTTTCATCTAGTCGCATGTAGTTGTTAATCTTTATTTGATTCATCGCTTGGCTTATTTTCATCGTCATCTTTTTTCTTCTTGCCATCACCTTGTCCAGTTGATTCAGTTAATGTACTTGCTTTCTTCGTACCTGATACAATATCATCAATACGAAGTAATAAAATGGCAGTCTAAACATAAATTCGATTTATTAGTTACAGAAAAAATAAGAAAAAGTTTTTTTTAAGAATTTTACTTCAATAGCTGTTTTGATTGTTTGCATTTTAACAGCAATTGGCTCCCAAATACCAAATGTATTCATATCAACTATTTGGCCTGCTTCACCATCAATACCCCATGCAAATTGATCGGGCTGTTGATGATGTTTAGCACGAAGTGTTGTTAATTGTTTCACAACATTACCACCACAATTTTGTATCAATGTTCGAGGAATTATTTCCAATGCACGACTAACAGCTTTGTACGGATATTTTTCAACGCCTTTAAAGAATTCATCGTTGACTGTACCACTTGTGCCTTCACTGCTACTCATTGCATCGAGTGCTCTATAATGAAGAAAACGAAAGCAAGGTTATTGAGAAACAATCGATACGATAGATAAAACCTTGAAAGTGCCATTTCAACAGCACCACCACCTGGTGTTAAACGCGGTTCAAGCATAACATTACGGGTAACATTCATAGCATCATGAAAATTACGTTCGATTTCATTCAAGACATCCTTATTGGCACCACGTAAGATGATTGTACATGCTTTTGGATTTCTGCATTGATCAAAGAATGTATAATATCTAAAAGAAACATAATCGAAAATCTTTGTTTTGATTTTTAACACGAAGAAGATCTTCTCTATTCTTACTCATCACCAATTTTACGTATTTCAAAAAGACCACAACCAGTGCCAACATCTTCTTCTTTCAAGTCGGCTGTATCATTAACAATGGTTGCGCCAGTTGCTCGTGAAATACGATTATTATCGGATTTTTTCGTGCGACGTACAGCTGATATACCAGCAGCAGCCAAATAGTGCGCAGCAACATCTAAATGAACATTTGTTCTTGCAAAAACAAAACATTTCTATTGATTGTTTTTATTTACCAGAAATTCCTTTTTCAGTAACGACAACATCTGGTTTAACAGCAATAACATCTTGACACATTGTACGGATGCTTTCCTCTTCCAATTGTAACATTCGTCTATATTTAGAGTAAATTCTTTTCAAGAAAAAACAATAACTAGTTAATAAACATACGTAAAATCCGGTTCACCACTAAATTCAAGTGATGTTTGACTTTCACCTTTCTTATATTCAAGTGAACAATCAAGCAAAACAATGCGAGGATTTTCAATGCGTCTAAATTATTTTGATGAAAAACAAAAAAGTTTTATTCTTCGAAATTTCATCCATCGATATACATACCGTTTCATTTTTGGATGAACAACATCTTTATTAAGCATAGCACCTTTGAGTAAATATGAATCTTCAACTGAACCACCTGGGATCTTTAGATTTAAAACAAAACAAAACACAAATAGTATCTATCATAAATCTATTAAAAGAATAAACCTTTTCAAAACGAGCATATCGTTTTATATCAATTTCTCGTCGACCATTCTCATCAACAATAATTGTTTGTACTGCATCAAGAGATATTTGACAAGCCAAATCACTCCTAAATAATTTAGTTTTCATACATAAAAAATTTTTTTTTTCGAAAAGTACTTCAACTGATAAATCGACTTAGAAAAGTTATTATGTATTATTGTATATGACGTGGGCATATGTTTAAAAAGGTTCGTACTTTTACAATATTTTTTTCAAAAAAAATATCCTATATGCTCTTCGGGTCAATACCAGAAAGATTGATTATTGATCTCAAGCCTATCGCCGCGACAGGTGGTCATGAAAATTTCAGTCATTTATATGAAAGATGAAAAGGATATACTTTTACCCTGCTTCTCCCTTAGAACAAGCATAGCCACAAGATCTGGTACATACACATAGAGCTATTTTGTTTTACTAAGGTCTGACTCTGTGCGAAATTTAGTATTCTTTGTATTGCTGCTAAAAGTAGCCTCAGTATCTATGTACGAAATAGCATTCGAACTATGGACTCAATCTATTGTTTAGGCTATGTATACAGCCCATTGAGGCCAAATTAGTCTGAACTCAAAAGCGATTTATCGATTGAATAGACTTTATTTGCGCATCAATCAACTAACCATCTTGATAAATATTTTGTACCAATGCAACTTTTAACAACGCGTAGCATTTCATCACGATTTTTAACATCAACTGGTATGCTAGCTTTTGTTTTCATGATTTCAATACAATCTTCAAGTGCTTTGCGATATGCGCGTATAACAACAGTTGCATGTAAACCTTGTTGAAGATACTGTTCAGTTTGAGCCAATAATTCACCAGCTAAATTTTTCAAAAAGATTGTTTTTAATTTCTTACGTAATATATTTTTTTTTCGTTACCTAAAATAATGACACTTGTTGTACCGTCACCAACTTCTTCATCTTGTGTTCGACTGATTTCGATCATTGATTTACCAGCTGGATGTTTAACTTGAATCTAAGAATGAAATTTTAAAAAAATAGATAAATTTAAAAAATGAAATCATTTTTTTATACTTCACGTAAAATAGCATTGCCATCGTTCGTTAAAACAATACCACCCATTGGATCAAGAACCATCTATAGAAATGTATAAAAATTAAGAAAAAAAAATTAATTTTAAGCCATAAAATTATTTACTTTGAGCATAGCTCGTGGACCAAGACATGTGCGAATTGTATCCGCAATAGTCTAAAAAACATTATTTGCAAAAAATCTTTAAAAAATCGAAAATAAATACTTTAGCAGCAAATATATTGCTGAATTGAGCCTTTTTGCCTTGATCTCGTTTTGTATTTGTATCTATTAAAAAAAACGCACAAAATAAACAAAAATGCCTAGTTGATTAAGAGAGACTCAATTACTTAAAACCATTATGGGTTGGGAACCACCAGCACCGCCTAACATCATTTTTGATTTGTTTTTTAAACTAAAATCTAATCAGTCGATATACAAAGAAAAAACAAGAAAGATCTGGATGTTTGAAATGAATAATGAAACAAGTATATTGTTTATTCCTCTATTTACCATTACGGTCCACCGTTGTTAGGATAACGATGGAACATACGGCATATTTTTAGTTGTCGGCAACCATATAGAAAATGAAAAACGTCATCAATGGGTGACATCTATTGTAAAAACAAAATTTATTGTATTGTAGCATATAAAAATTCATTTTTTAATACTATACGATGAAATATTTGATTATATGAATTTAAATGGTAAGATATATTTCATCAGAAATAGAAAAATAGAAAGATCAAGTCACTTTTAGTTGAAATCTTGAGCAGTCAAAGTGTATTTTTTTAAGATTTAACAGGCAACTATGTAAAACTCCAAATTGGAAACTATCATAAGATGAGTATCATTTTACAAATCTGATGCTTGTAAGTGTTATTGCATCCTCAGATTGTGGATATTCTTTTTTTTTCTTTTTTTGAATAGAAAAAATCTCAAATTAAGAATTGATGAATTCACTAATATGTAAGAAATAACTTGTTCTATGTGAATTATTAAAATAGGAAATAAAGTTTTTAACTGCCATTAACAGTCTTCATCATTGACTATGTCTCAGACAGCTTCTTTTTTGTCATTCTAATAAGCTATAGGCATTTTCCGTTTTTTCTTTTATACATGAGAAAAATATTTTACATTATATACATATATAAAAAGTTTTCTGAGTCCTACAAAAAAAAACCTCTACAAAAATATGTGTGCGGCTTTTTTTAGTTTCTTAGCTTGATGGAAACGATTGTTTTCACATAATTTCTCTTATTAAATTTACTTGTTAAGTTGTAGCATTTAATGTCATCGAACGAGCGCCCTAGGGTTTTAAAACATTACAATGTTATTTGTGTTCTTTTGCTTCTTTTTTCTTTAACGAGAACGTGTTTGTTAAGTGAAAGAGAAGACGAAGAAAAATAAGTAACCAAGACAATCTCATTCTTTCATCTCGTCTTTAGTTTCTTCATACATCAACTATAGACAGAAGCAGTTAACAAACAAAAAGTGAATTGATTTTTAGTAAAAAATGACTGATAATTCACTATCGAAGTCACCAACATCACATTTTACATCATCGTTTATTGTAACAAATTCATCTAAACATCGTTCAAACGCATTTATATTTCCAAATGGTGATCAATATGATGGTGAATATATTACCACCGAGGAGGGACACATGATGCGCCACGGTCAAGGTAAACATACAAGTGCTGATCAACAACTTATTTATGAAGGAACATGGAATCGAGATAAAATGCATGGAACAGGACGATTAACTTATGGAGATGGGTCATATTATGATGGAGAATTTCAATCGAATTATTTCGAAGGTTTAGGTACATACAGATGGCCTGATGGTGCAGTATATACTGGAATTTGGCAAGGATCAAGACCGATAGGCAAATCAGAATATATAGGACCAGAATTGGCTGTACCATTTGTTGGTATCGCTGACGGACAAGTATCCTCTATGCGATATAAAGTGTCTTCTGTATAGAGAACATTTACTCTTTCATACATACATGAATTGAAAACTCGGTGTAATAAATATGTTATTGGTTTTTTTTTGTCTTTCATAAAAAAAAACTTGAACAAATTTGTATTTGAATCAAATGAACATATATTTACGTAGTTTCGTGCAACATTTATTTAAGAAAAAGCCTTGTAAATGACACAATGAAAACATTGGATTTTATTTATAGGGATAATCGTAATACCTATTAGTTTCATTGTTATAGTATTACAAGCGAAATGATCTAATTATAGATTAATAAGTTGTCACAAATTATTCTTAATCAACATTTTTCTTTGCTTTTTAATTGGAAAATATTCTAACAGTGCATGAAACTATCTAACCAGCATGATACACATATGGCTAGTACTTTTAATGTTTAACATAAATACAAGAAATTATTCTTGTGTTATACTTAATGAAGGAATGCACACTGAATTGAATGTTTCAGTAAAATAGTCTATGAAGAATTTTAATTGTTGGATATAGGAGAAAAACAATGAATTATTGAAAAATTGACTTTGTTATTTATGCAATAAAATTGTTCGATGAAACATGTCCAAGGTCAAATTTAATATAGATTATAAAAGAAGGCTGACTATGTAGATGTTTCTCTCTTCTAGAAATGGTAGGTTTTCTCTCTATTTCATTCATAATGAATGAGTTTTTGCCATTTATAATACATAATATATTCTGAATAGAAACAATAATTAATATTTAAAATGTTTAAGAATAATACAGAAAATATTCCTTTGGAAAAATTTAGTCGAGTTCAGTTCAGCAAGCAAATTCATTTAAACTTTTAAAATTATTAGCAACTTTCGTTCCTGTCGAGTGACCTCTTTTGATAGATGTTCAGTTGTTGAAGTCGTCACTATGCAACATATACCTTTCATGGTTATATTGATAGATACGCAAATGCATTAGAGGCTCTGTTTTGAATGCAACAAAAGCAAACAGAAACACAAAAAAAGAGAAAGAAATACTATATTTTCATTTTGCTTTAAGTCGACTTTTTGTGTTATACTCGTAATCCTTTTCGTTGCGTTCTGATTTTAATAAATAAATAAGTGACCTAAGAAAAAGCACAATATGGGAGCTGCTTCATGTAAAAATTCGAAATCACCAGAGCAAAATCAAGAAAATGCAAATAAAACGTAAGTCTCTGGGGTATGTCGTGTTATATGATCAATTCAAAAGATGAAATTACATTCAATTTGTAGTTGTTAAAATATTCAGTAGAAGAGTAAAAAAATAGTAGTCTGTATTCAACTACGGTTTCATGCGTCACTGGATAAACTAATTGTTTATTGACAAAAATCAATTTCATTCTAATCAAATTATAATAAGATCAATTTCCTAATCATTAATATTAATACATGTTGATCAATTTTTTTAATAATTTAATTATTTTTTTTTCATTCAGGAATATCACTATTGGTGTATTTGGTCTTGATTATGCCGGTAAGAAAAAAGCTTTTTTTTCAAGTTTTATATTTCATTAAAAAAATATTTTGTTTTTAGGCAAAACATCAACGGTGAAAGCAATCGAAGGCTGTAAGACAATTATATGGTATTCATATTTTCTTTTATTTATTTAATCTTTCAGCACCAACAAAGCATGCTCTCCCGACAGTGAGCACAAATACATCCACCGTTCCATATCCAGTATCAACGAAACGTGGTGAAAAATCTCATGAACCTATACAAATAATTGATGTAAGCGGTCAAAGACGCTTTCGTGAAGACTCATGGCCTGACTATTACGATAAAATACATGGTCTAATATTTGTCCTGGATGCAAGTGAAAAAAAACGAATAACAGAAAACAAACAAACCCTTGACGATTTACTCTGCGATGACAAACTTCGAGATAAACCTATACTTATGTGAGTTAAATAAAATGTTTGCAAAAAAGATTTGATCAATAGTTGTATTTTGTTTCTATTACACAGTTTAGCAAATAAACAAGATCGTACAGGTGCCATAGACGATGAAAAGGAAATAAAAAAAAAACTTGATATTGATCAATTGAAGATAAAACATAAAATTGTAAGTTAGATACTTATTATTATTATATAAAACTATTTTATGTCGTTAAGGAATTCTGTACGGCCATACCAAATAATGATAAAGATGATGATTCAATTCGAACAGGTTTTTCATGGTTAATACGAACAATTGAAGCAAATTATAGTGATTTGAATGCACGTGTTGTTAATAATGCAAAAGGTTCCAATCGATCAAAACCAATTGGAAGAAAAAATGAGTAACCATAGTGACGTGACAAAGTAATTTTTCATATTGTTTTCAATTTTGTTTTTCAGTAGAAAATCTGATGACTCAAATAGTGAAGATGAACCTCCGTCGCCACGAAAACGAATGACAATTCCACCGTTTAGTAAGACCAGAACAGATGTTCGTTCAACAAATGATTCAAATAAATTACCAAGTATAAATCACGCTAAAAATATACCAAAATCATCCAGTCGGGATACACATAGCGAAGATGATGATGGTGATGTCAATTATAATGCACGTGTACGTGCACGTCCAGTTATTTCTCCTGTTGATAATGATGATTATTCCTATAATCGTTCATCAAATCAAGCTAACACAACAAAATCAAATACGTTGGCTAAGAAAAAAAAAGTTATCGGTCCAGCTAGCAATGCTAACAAAGATACATCATATAAAAAGTCAAATGACAACGAACTAAAATCATATCGAGCACCATATGAATCGTTGCCTGATGATGATCCATGGTCATCAATAAAAAAAACATCAAAAACTGATGATACATTTCCAAACTTATATTCAAAATCACCAATAACAAATGATGCAACAAAAAAATATCCTAGTCCGCTTCTTCGTGATATAAAACCTAAAAGTAGTGGTTTAACATCAAAAGGGCCGAACTACAGCGATAATGATGATGATGATGATAGTTCTAGTAAAAAAGACAAAAACAAAGTAAAAATCAAAATCAAAAACAAAATTTTTTATTGAGAACATTGAATATTGTATTTGAAAATTTTAGTCGACATTCCCACCAAAAACTCGATATGACGATGATGATGATTCTTATAAAAAAATTTCATCATCCTATTCAAAAAATAAGCCATTGTTAACTCCAAAGAAGACAACATTGGGTGCCTACGGTGCGGATGATGACGACTATGATAAACTAAATAATAAAACTAATAATCGTCCATTTGGTAGTACTCCAACAAAGAAACTCTTTAAACACGATGAAGAAGACGAAGAAGAAAGTGATCCTTTCAAGAAAACATCATTGAAATTAACAAAAACTGTTGATTCAGATGATGATGATTATAAGAAGAAAACTAGCAAAAGTTATTTGAGTTCGTCAGATCGTTCAAATTTTGACAATGATTATCGTCGAACAACATCAAAACCACCATTGTCTCCGGCAACCACATCAAAACGATCGAAAGATAATGATGATGACGATGATGATTCACCATTACCAAAGCCTTTGAGTCGTTCGAGATTTCCCAATGATAATTATGTGTCGACATTATCGAAGCCAACAAATCGTTTGATAGCAGACGATGATGGTGATTCCTATAAAAAGCCTTCGTCACCTTATTCAACAAATAAATCATTGTCAACTCCTAAGAAACCAACATCTAGTACTTATGGTGCAGATAATGATGATGACCACGATAAATATAATACTAAAACTACCCATCGTCCTTTTGCTACTACTCCAACAACAAAGAAACTCGGTAGATTTGACGAAGAAGATGAAGAAGGTAGAGATTCTTTGTAAAAGATTTCATTAAAAATAACAAAAGCTTTTGATTCAGATGATTATGATAAGAAGAAAACTAGCAAAAGTTATTTGAGTTCGTCAGATCGTTCGAATTTCGACAATGATTATCGTCGAACAACAGCAAAACCACCATTGTCACCGGCAACGACAACAAAACGATCGAAAGATGATGATGATGATGATTCGCCATTATCGAAGTCGTTGAATCATTCGAGATTTAACAGCGATATTGATCGTTCTTTGCCCCCATATAAATCAGCAACAACTACCAAAAAGGGTGACGACGACGACGACGACGATGATGATGATGATTATAAATCTAAATCTAAATCTAATTCTAAACCTAAAGTGCCGTTGAGATTCAATGATAACGATGATCTTCCATCATCGTCGTCGAAATTTGGAACTCGTCCGAAATATGATGATGATGATGATGATAATCCATCTTCGTTTTCAAAACCGACGATACGACCAAAATACGGAAATGATAATCGATCATCGTCACCTCCAAGATCGACTTCAATCTCAAGAAAACCAGATGACAAAGCTTCATTGTCATCACCAAAGATGAATACACGATCGAAATTTGACGATGATGACTATCCATCATTATCATCTAAATTAGCAACACAATCACCGAGATTACCATCACGTTCAAAATATACCGATGAGGACTATACGTCGTCATCGAAGAAAAATAGCTTTCCATCACGTGATGATGATTATAGTGGTAAAGGAGGTTTACGGTCTCGTATTGGAAATGATGATTTCGATTCAACCAAAGGTGGATTTCACAGTGCTCGAGTAGGCTCAGCTGCAACTCAACGATTTCGACCAAATATGAATGACGACGATTAAAACGTCATTGTTTTATTTCTCACTGAAATTGCGATGGTTTTCCATCTGATTTGAATTTCAACATTTTATTTGGTTTCTTTTGTCTAACAAATTTTTAAAAGCTTATTTAAATCTTTTTTTTTTATTTTTCGTTTTGTTTTCGAATAAAAGAAATTAACGGCAGATTATCGCTATTTTTTAGTTGATTATAATTAGAACTGGCTCAAATTCATCATCATTTTCAAATATATAAAATTAATTTGATTCTAAATTGTGCAATCATTTTAGTCTGTTTTGTAACAATAAATATTAATTTGACTCATTTAATAAAATAATATATATCGTTGATTAAAACAGAAATTATTTCTTGAAGATATTATGACTTGATAACAATCGAGTAAAATTATCTGTCAAAGTCAATAAAAAGATCAACCAAATTAGATTCCCAGGAGAATCATTCCGACAAGGGTCAGACAGTGAATATACCGAATACCATATGTGTTTCAATAAAACCGACGAAATCTTATGGGATTCCTGGACGCGGGCCTTCAGTCGGATCTGATGTTGGATTTTAACGGAATTCAACTCTAACGATTCACCCTTGCGCTCTGATGGCTCAAAATGCTTATTTGATCGTGAATAAGAAAATGATTTTTTTCCGTCGGAACCGACAATATGTCCGTGTCCAGGAATCCTATCGGATTCTGTCGGGGAGTCGGATCCCGTAGGATTCGATAAGAGCCGTTGTCGGATTCATTCACCTGGGTTGCGTAAAAGAGCTGAAGTTTCGAAGTATGAAAAATTGACTAGGAGACAATTTTTGAAACAATTATTATTCAGCAGACATCACAAAAAAAACATACAAAGCAGCCAATATATTTTTCTTTAAAATTGAATGAAAAGGAAAATGTAAGAGCAGAAATGAAGGCTTTCCGCTTTTTTTTTTGACAATGAGAATTATCTTTTATTCAGAAAAAATTAGATCTATTTCAAGGTTTGTTAAGGAAGAGACGATTGTATACAATTTAGAACTCTAACAATATGAACATCTCCAGTCACAAAATACTGAAAGTATAACTGTAACATTTTTATAACTTCAATAGAAACTATCTAGTCTTATAGGAGATCACTTTTTCGCTACTGCAATATATGTTATCAAATACTATTAGGCAACGACGTTCGATTATATTTTACTTTGGAATAGAAAATCATGAGTCTTCTGTATCTTCAATCGGTTTTATATTAATGCGTATAGCTCGATAAACTGCTTTGCTTTTCATTGAATATATTTGAGAAGTTACGCCTGCTTAAACTCGAAAAATATAACTTTAGGCTATTCTTACAGAAGCATTCATTTTTATATTAGTTTACTGTTCTGCATTGTGGACATTAACATAAGATGCGCCTGAATACATCTGTATAATCACCATAAATAGTAGTCCTAAGTAGTTTTATACTTGAAATATCACTAAATAGTGTGAATTTAGAGCAGGCATATATTTTCTTCGATATCTCAAAACTATTTTCACTTGAATTACTGTGGACAACTGTCAACAATACATATTAATTATTCTGCGATCATCTCTATAATCTACTGTAGTAGTTATTGTTTTCTTTCTATTTCAGATACTCCAGTGATAAAATATTAAAATAGAACAGAGACTATTAAAAACAAGATATCTGATATTTATTAAACTGTTGTGTCTAAAAACTCGTTTTGACCAGAAGCTTTGATTAGAATTGAAAAAGCTTGTTAGCGCAGCCCCTTTGGGACTAAAATGTGGAACTCACATATATCCCTTCGGCTTACTAAAATAATTCATCTGAAAAATCTACCCTGATTTTCAAAACCTATAATTAGATCATTGCCTATTTGCACTTATGTCTGTAATTGAGTATTAATTGTTAGCTCGTATATTTAACAATGGCAGAGGCTAGTTACTATGGTTTGCATTGGTACCCGAAGCTAGTTACTATGGTCTGTAATGGTGCCCTAAACTGGTTACTATGGTCTGTAATGGTACCCTAAGCTAGTTAATATGGTCTGTAATGGGCAAGCATAGCTTTTTCGTGTAGTCTGTAATTAAAAAGGGAAGACATATCAGCCTAATTAGTCAAGATTCTAATTAGCACAATTTTAAACTCATTGATGTCTGTAATGGGGAGGGAGGGGGGTGGGAGCCGCAAAAATCTCGGCTTTAAACTTACACTCACCATTTTCTTCGAAAATATATGTGAGTTCCACAAAAAAAAGAACTACTTAATTGGTTACATCCACAGTTATTACTGTTATTGAAATCTTTCAAGTTTAGATGTAGTTATGACTTATATCCATACTGATTTTGTGACTATATATAGATGCATTCAGTATTAAATTTAATTAAAAGAAAAAATTTCACACTAATAGTTAACAGCTAGTTTTCATAGATCAGCAACGACATGCAACGCGGAAGAGCAATCTTATCGTGTAATGATTAAATCAATGAGCGGTATAAGCTAAGGAAAAAGTTGATTTTAAATAGTTGATCAGCTTTTCCTCGTTAATTGTGTACGATTTTTAATTTATTTTGAGAAGACTTACCTTGAAACTAATCGCAGCATGTAACTTTCCTTTCTCGTCATGACGCTCTTTAGAATAAGATCATACACATGCGCCATTAGTTAGATAAAGTCTTCTTCGACAAATCAACATTAATAATATGCTAGAGTGAAAAAAATTACTCTGAAACTTATCATTAGTTTCATACAAAAAGAAAATGACACAAAATTAAAAGATGTTGTTCTCGAAGAGCTTATTATTTTGGATTATTTTGATAAATTAATCAAGAAATTGCATGTTCAAAGATGATTTTTTTCCTTCTAGTTTATTTTCAGGCGATATATTCTATTAGATACTGATAATTATATATTTAGACTAGAATTTAAATCCAAATAAGAAAATTACAAGTAATATTTGATTGAAATTTGATTCTTTTCAACTAATCGGATTTATATTTTATTTATCTAACGAACTAAAATCACTCGATACAATTTTAGAAGTCTAACCCAATCGTTCTTCGTGATTGTGACTATCTGAATAATGATGATTTTGATATTTCGAATGTAATTTGCCTGATTTTGAATGATGTCGTCGTGCATCAATCATTCCGTGAATCATACACATAAATATCATAATAGTAAATAGTAATTTAACAAGATAATGTTGCATATTGATCATCATTTTAGAATAATTGTTGTCTAGGAACGAAAGAGTTTGAAATCGATGGATATTAAGAGCGCTCGAATATTTTAGATCAGTTTAAACGAATTATTTTAGAAAAGCGCTTTAATTCACTAATTTTGATACTGAAAATTTTTTCCAATTTTTTTCGTTTAATGGAAAACATTTAGTACAATTATAAATGCGTTCATATGAACATGTAATCCATTTTTTTAAATCTTCTTATTACGATTTTATTCCAGTTTCAATCGAGTTACTAAGAAAATTCACATGTTTTTTTCTTAAATCTTAATGTTCAGATTATCGTTTTGTTCTATTCTGTACTAAGAAAAAAATCCATTCTGCTACTAGTCGTGTGTGCATACTAGAGCATGTCTCTAGGTTTGAACTCTGACTTTATATTCAATTTTTCGACGGATATTCTTTTAACATTTATTTAAGTTAGCTGTGGCATATATTGATAAATAAAAATATCTTGAATTTATGCCATTATATTTTATATGCTAGTAATTTACGTCATATGTACTTTAATCTCACTAGATTTAAAATATCTACAATATAATATAATGTAAATTTCAAAATTTTAGCAAGTTGGACTCGACAAATTTTCTTCTGTTATTGATATCGATTTGCTTTTAGCTCTAAAGTATAATATTTAAATGTCGTTGTCTGATCTTCACAAAAGTAAAACATTTCTATTGGTACATTGCTTTTGACAAAATTTTGTCGTCAAAGTAAGCCTAAACGACGCACGCTATATTTCAGATCTTTCTTATTTATTATAAGATCATTATATTGAGCCTATTATTTATTTACTAGGCATACTGTGGGAACTGAAGACTTATCTTCTTAACGTTTGAAATAGTTCGATGCATCTATTTGAAAATATAGAAATTCCCAGATATTGCAAAATCCACAAAGAGAATTTCATAGAAAATGAATAATTTTGGAATCGAAATGAGGGATCAACTCAAGGTTCTTTTTATGACCTTTAGATTTTTTTTCTATCTTAGGAAGATATTAGCGAAATATTTGAATCATAGGACAACCTTCTCTCTCCTTCTAGACCGAGATTTACCTCGACATGTTAAAAATGTGCAGACTCACTCATTTTGTTTCTAGAAAACTTAAAAAAGAAAATGTTTTCAAGTGTATGAAAATTCTTTCTCGTTTTTAAGAAGAAAAACAGCATCATTTGGATTGTTTTAAATATTACTAAAGAAATTACAGAGTGTTTATCGAATGTAATTCAGGAACAATCTATTTATGGAAAAACAGCTCAATGTTCTCCTAGTAGACATAAACATTCTTTTATTTCACTACATCATACTTGAAGTTGTTTCCTCGAAATAAATTTTTATTTTTTCGGCAGACGCCAAGTTGAACAAATAAAAAGGTGTTTTATATCATTCTCATTGAATTTCTTTCTTTATTTTGCATAAAATTAAAAGTACAATGGACAATGAAAACAAGTAAAAGAAGAAAAAAACATACAATCATCGGAAAATAGATTGTAATAGAAAATAAAAATAAAAATAAAATTTTTATTCTTCTACATTGTAAAAGAATAATTTTCTCGTGCATAATGTACTCAAATGAAATTTTTTTTCAAGTAAATGGAGATAACAGTTGACTAAGTAATTCATTCTTTGATAGAGCACGAATAAAATTATCTTTTGTTATAAGTCCTTGTTCGTTACAATGACATGAGCTTATAAAATGCTTGAGCAATTCAATCGATTCATATTCATTACCATTACCGCCTAACATTCTCAATACATACTAAAAAAACAAAATATAAATGAATAAATAATGTTTTGAATGTCCATCTAGAATACTTTTGCCATAGTGTCTATTTCCGATTGATCAATATAACCATTTTTATCAATATCTAGAATATAAATAAAGTAGAAATTGAATATTGTTCGCCAAATATTTGATTAAATTTTTACCGTAAAGTTGGAATGTGTAGTCGAGTTTTTCTTCCATCGTTCCCTTTGTTGTTAGTAAAAAGCCGATGGCAAATTCTCTAAAATCTATATAAATAAAAACAGAAGAAAAAAGAATATACTTATAAACTAGAAGAGCAATTGATATCAATAATATTATTCGTACCGACTTTGCCATCGTTATCGATATCAAATGCTTGATATATTGCACTCACAACATGTTCGACTTTATCCATGTCACACGTGCTTAAATCTCTATAACATTTTAACATATCTTTTTTGGTCATTTTTCCATTAGGACATCTGGTCTAAATAAGAAAAGAAGATGAAAATACTTAATTATGACTTTCATGGCGTTTTGTGATTGAATGTTTACCTAGACTTATCATCATTGAAAAACATAAAAGAGAGCGTACCCTAGAATAATCATCTTTAAGTGATGAACTAAAACAAGAGATTTTCTTTCTGTGTCTTCTTGCGGCTAATGAAAACGTAAGAAAAGGAAACGGATTTACTCAATAACGCTAAGAAGCTCTTTTCTTGTTAGTTGATGAGAATATTAAAAAGTCAATTAATGCCTCACATATGATTTCATTATCGAAACAAAAACAAAAAAAACAAATCTGATCTCAAGAAAATAAGGCGCTGTGCTTTTAAGAAATTTTTATTTCGAAGGGCATCTTGTAGTACTTTCTGATTTTCATTGAGTCAAGCCATGTTGTTGTAATTATATCATTTGTAACTCAGTGTTAAAAACTAAATCGGAAATTTTGCCTTTTTTTAGCTTAGCAAGTCGCATGCACAATACTGATAGAGAAAAACAGAAGCCCTTGGTGAAATTCTTTTCTTCTCAATTTAACTTTAATGGAAATTATATTGTTTTTTTTTTATTTTGGATATTTTATTCTTACTTTGATCTCATTATACCAAGATGTGATTTCAGAAGTTTTCATTCTTGTTTTACTTTTAATTAAAGCTAATGTGACGTCGTCCAGCGTCGTCGTACTGAAATGATTCCCCATAAATTGACCATTCACCGGTGGCGCTAATATAAAATCTTAAACTGAAACAAAAAACACAATAAAAACGAATTCTCTCAGACTTCCGTAGAAATAATTCAGCTTAACAATGAAAAAATAATTTATAGATGAGAAATATTTTTGTTTTCGCGATCACTTCATGTGATTGTTCTTGCGTCTGTTGTTTTTTTTCTCCTTTGACGTCATTCTTTCTATACATAGGATTAATAATCATTGATGGTATGAATCGAAGTTATTGAAAGTAAATATCGATTCACGTTTACCTTGAATGTAAAAGCAACTATATGCTGACACACCACAAATGAAAAGATACTAAAATTCTATTATCATGACTATTATTGACTTCAAAAAAACAAAAAAAAACAATATATATATATATGTATTTATATCTTAGTTAATTAATACGGGTAATTATACAAAATAGGTATACAAGACTTAGTCTACGTAAGATTATCGCATGTTTGTAAAAATAATTCTATTCCAAAAACGAAAAAGAAAAATAATATTGTGTATATAAAAACATTATGTTGAATTAAGCACCAGCATGCAAGAAGAAAAAGAATAACAACAACCAAGCAAAATTAGTATGAAAAAATATATACGACGATAAATACTCACTTTAATGCATTTATTAACTCGCTGTATTATACAAAGCTTTTTCTGGCTTCTAAGTTGAAGTTAGATGTGTGTTTTATTATGAAATATCTGCGTTTCTTCTTGTAGTACATCATGTTTTTAATTCTTTCATGATACTCATCAGAAAAATTCATCATAGTTGAGTGTTCTTCTGAGATGATCACTCCTACACATTGGATTTTAATCAAAGAATATAAATCACAAGACCAATAACATACTTATCCTATCTTCAGATATTTGTCTCTAGTAATTGAAAATACTACAGGGAAAAGTACTTGTTCTTTTAACTACAATGAGTTTGAAAGTTGTTAATAAAAATAATTTTTCTTTTCAAATAGAATAATCAAACCGTATAACTTACTGTTTTTATGTGAATAAATGTTCAAATATCGATGAGAAAGCAAAAAGAATTGAGTTTTCTCAATGAAGTAATAATCATTTGTTCTTTTCCATTCATTTTAACGCTTGCGAATAGAAGGAGTGAGAAAAAATAGAAAAAGAAAAATTTTCTATAATTCTTTGACGTTAACTTACAATCATGCAATGTTATGATGCAGCAGCAATTCTGACAGTAGTTGAAAAGTTAAATGTGAAAAAAATTGAAAATCAAAAGAAAAAGTGAAGAGAATATAAAAAGAAATAAAAGAATATTTTCCGTATGATTAGCGACAATAGATGATAGATAATGAATTTTATAAATTCTAGATATTAGTTTATCGACATAAAAGCAAATAAAGCGACTTCATTTTTTTCCCTCTCAAAAGATCACGAAACTCTCCTATATTTCCATACTGTCTCGCATGTTTTGTTTACCTTTACGGACATCCTTCATTAGTCCTTGTTTTTACATAGCTAAAAACTAAGATGTCTAGAAAAAAAAATGCAAGAGAGAGAGAGAAGGGGCGGGGGAAACCACTACCACAAAGATAGTGAGAAATCATCATCAGGCATCGTTCTCATTTCTACTAAACAACAACCTCCGTGTTCACTACCGGAAGGTTTTGCACATGAAATCAGAAAAAGGATTAGAAAAAAATGCACTGAAACGTCTTCCTATGTAAGTTAATAAACACTGAAAGAAAGTTGCGATGTATAGATAATTTTCAATGCTTCACAAATGAAACTAGTCGTATTATACTCATATTCGTTCGGCGAAAATTTTTACTATGATTTGAAATGTTTTTTTTTCTCCAGCTTATGAATTCTATTAAAGACATACAGATGTTTTCCGGATCTAATTGCCAAAATATTTATGATTATTGTTACAAATGAGGCAATAGTAATGTAAAGAATATTTATGTTGATTATAATTAAAATTTGTACTTCTGAAAAATGAGTAGCACTGCCAGTTTTATAACTAATCTGCCATCCTTACTGAAACATTTGTTGCTTTTTCTTGGCTAGACGTTCATTTGAATTATATATTAAAAATAAGGATAAAAAACAGATTATAATCGATGACCAGTTTCTTTTTTTTACGAATAGAAAAAGAACAAATTAGAAAAATATATAAATAAATGATAGAAAACATCTTAAAGAGAATATTTGATTAATCGATAGAAACTTGTACTTATATCCATTTGAATGGATTGTATTCTTCAATACAACTTAATACGATTGCATTAGTATTTCTATTTGTTTCATTTTGTTTTCTATAAAATTTGAGTGCTGAATATAAAACAGGAATTCAAAGTATGAAATTCGTTTAAAAATGTACTATCTACTTACGTGTTTTCAAATTTTTTTTTCTCATGTCTATATTTATAGTTATTTAACTAGAAATGATTTTATTTTTCTTTAATGCGTGGTGTAACTTATATATATGTTGTGTAAGAAGGAAAATCTATCAGGATATAATAGAAATGTGTAAGTTTATCGACGTAAGAACTTACTATAAATAAATAGGAATGAAGAAGAAGAAGAAGAAGAAGAAGAAGAAGAAGAAGAAAATGAGAATGGACGCCACTAAGCAACTCGATCCTGTTCGTTACTCGATCCTGACTACATGGTGCATGATATTTCTCATCGACTTTTACACGCACATGGTGGATTAAAAATAATTTACATGCAAAATACATATATTAGCCGGATTTTCTCTATCGATGCCGAAAATGCATAATAATAAAACAATAATATGAACTATTCGTAATTACAGTTGATTACTGAAGTCTACACTGATCTTAACCAATCCATCCAGTGATTTTACGCAGAAAAAGTACCAAGGCATGTTATTGACATTAATTCTTTGGCAGAGAAATATTATCTAATTATTACTCTTAGCAATGAATATAACGCAAAAAAACCACACTTGAGCAAAGAAAACACTTGCAATTTGAAATAGCCTACCGGTAAAAAAAGCTTATGGTTTCTTGAGTATTTACTGTGAGATTTAAAATGGTCGAATAAATAATGTTATTCTACGTTTGATCAAGTTTCAAAAGTATTTAAATGGCTTTTGTTTTTATTAATCTATCTGTATTCAAATATTTCAACCGAACTGAGTGCATTATGCGTGATATGAGAAAAAATCGAATATTTTCAATTTACAGAATCAAATTTGTGTATAAATCATTAAGTAACTATAGTGAAATTTGATTCTAGTTACTCAGCTGAATAGTTTTTAACAAATATGGACTACCATCTTTAAAATGTAATGATTTGTTAATGTTTTGTTAGCTGAAGTCTTACTAAATTATTTGACGCAGTAGAAACGTTTTCGATGAAAGACAACATAATAAAAAATTTCTTATCATTTTTGAAATAACAACGACGTGATCGTTGTGAATATACAGAAGTTTTACTTCCTTTTCAAATATTTGTATAATTATGCAATGCATAATTATGTAAAAAAGTTGCGCTGACGAACGGATTGAATTATTTTTAGTGATTTCGTTATAATTCACGACTAGTAAAAAGAAACTGTTTCCAAAATCTTGCATTCATTTTTCAGCGTCTTAAATGAGCCTAGAGAAATTAAATTAGACTCAAAATGGTTTATTGTTTTTAGATATGACCTTGAAGCTCTACTTAAATTTGTGCTTTAGGAGTTATCAATTAACTTTCTGTAGAAGCCCTTACATTGCGCCTGGTCAAATGCCAATGTGACAAAAACGAACAAAATTAAAAGCAAAAATTATTGGATATACAGTAAATACTAAATTAGACAGTTACTTACAAATCGAACTCAGTCGTCCCGAGATGTTCGTTTCAAGATTCTTGTTTCTTATATCATCTTTAATTCTTAACACAGGAGATCCGTTAGTATCATATGTAAAGTAAAAGAGATAAATACCGCAAAAAAAATATAATAACCTCGATTTTCTTCGTTTAAGCTTAGTTTTTATGCTTCTAAAAGTCGAGCTTAGTGCTTCTAAACGATAATTCTATGTGAAATATTTAATCGATAATTGAAAAGCACTTTAGAATATGATCTTAAGTTAATTCTACCAGATTTTGGAGGTTTATTTTCAACAAACTAAAGAACGACCTGACATTTTTTGATATGATAGAAATACGTTTTATTTTTCTTAATAAAGCTCTCAGTATATTAGAATTCCCGAGGTTGTTTTTCATCTTTCACCGCTCCTAAGTCCATATGGGGGTCATATGGGAGTCATTTTAGAAGAAAAAGAATCATGCTCTTCGACAGTGTCATCGACAAAGTTTAGTTTGAACTTATTTTTGTCCAATGCATTGTTAGTGAACAACTCTATATCATTTTCCCTACATGCATAGAATGATTAAGAAAGTGTCAATATTCGGTAAAAATAGCATAGGCATACAAAGTTAAAAGGAACATTCTGAACACTATACAATCAACATGTCCTAATATTTCCCATCAGTGCCAAAAAAGTCATTTTATTTTTCTAAACAAAAAGACCTGTCACTAGCAACAGAATACCTAATGAATAACTAAATGAATGCAAAAAACAGGAAATCAAAGTAATTTTTATGAAATTTACCTAAGTCAACTGATCATTTTATCGGATGAATATTGCGCGTATAATTCAATTACGGTTACATCTATCACTAGTATAACTATTAGTGCTAAGCTGAACTGAATGAATAAAACTGTTCAGTAGCAAAAGATTATATGAAAAAGAAAATTAGTTGGAAATAGATATATTCTTTTCTTTTATATTAGTTTCGAAGAATTCACTGAGGTCGTGCTGCCATGAGAGTCAAACTGTGAGACTCAGAAAAAGTACTTTTGCAAAGCAAACTTCGATATGTGCACATGATGTTATGTTTTCTACCATTATGAATGTACTATTTCGCCATAAAACCTTCTTTTAGCTTTTGAAATGATCTTTTCATAATTACTATACATACGATACGAAATATTGTTATTTTTAGAAAGATCTCTTTCTTTGAAATTCTGATGCGCACGAACTGTATGAAATACGGTCAATGACCATGGAAATATTTTCTCCTGTATAAAGAACTTGAAGAAAATAATTCGAGGTATTCTACTAAAAAACATTGACGTGACTGTCTGATATCTTCGATCGAGGGACGCATTTTTCAGTAGACTGCACTTTCTTATTAGCTGCTTATTTTTAAATCAGAAATGACATGTCATTATGATAGCGGAAACAAACTATGGTTTATAATGAATCTACAAGTTATTATGGGCGTAAGATTCTAACAAAAATGATCAAGATTTCGATGCTATTTTGAGAAATCAACTTTTCAACATTCTCTAATGAGAACATACCTTAAGAATACAACGGGTGAGGCAGAGGAAATTGCCCGGTTTTCGATAAAGTGTTTTCTCAAGTTAGACTCGACCATAAAGGTTGGTTCTGATGTTGAAAGATAGAGAATTTTGTGTAGAATTTATTGATATGTTTTCTTTTAATTCAGCGTTTGCTGTTTCTTGGTATCATAAAAATTACTGAATACCACAAAAACATTGAATGGTCAACAACAAAATCAGCTTTTATCGAGTTAGGTTGAGTAGAAAATTTTCTTTCTTAAAGTGAGACATGTAGAATATTGGGTGCATCTAATAGAGCATTAGTTTTGGCTGCCTCTCCTTCGCAAAGTGGAAAACATCGAAAAGACGTCCTTGGTCAACGGAATCGAAATTTTATTTCCCACTTTTTTCAAAAGTCAGCTTTAGAAAAAGAATCCTTTTTTATCAATGGATGCAGAATTTCAAGCTCGACAAAATGTACTCCTTTATAAGAGCGGACGTCTTTTTCTAACTGAATAACGATGTTGAAATGTTTCCCTTGGCATGAAAAGGCACCAAAAGTTAATAACTAGGCATATTTTGTATGCGGCTTTTTAAATAGTAAAGCTTCGCACAAAAAATTCATTTTGTATCTAAAGAAACAAATGCGTTGGTCTACTTTTCATAGTGTGCTTGCATAGCGTATAGAAAATTATTTAACAAATAAAAATAACATTTTATTGTAGTCAAGTGCTGAGAAGTCGATGTTTTTGTGGTATTCAGTAATTTTTATGATACCAAGAAACAGCAAATGCTGAATTAAAAGAAAACGTATCAATAAATTCTACACAAAATTCTCTATCTTTCAACATCAGAACCACACTTTATAGGCGAGTGTAACTTGAGAAAACACTTTATCGAAAATCGAGTAATTTCCTCTGCGCCACCCGTTAATATTGCTTATTTTTCACCTCATATGAAATGGTTCAAAAACTATTTATTGCATTATAATAAAGTATGTTACGTTCAAGTATATATATATATATTGAATACAATAACTTATATGGAATAATACTTTGAACAAAAATATATCACTGATGATATTAACAGAAAAAGATGAAAGACAACGAATGAGTTTATGAAGATGATTTTTGATTTGTTATTGTTTGAGTAGGTTTAATGTCTTTCTTTTTTTCATCCTCTTTTTTAGATGGAATTAAACGCTCGATAATGGTCTTCTTTTGTTCATCGTCATCATTATCGCCCATATCGGCACGATCAGCATATTCAGCTAGTTCTGGATCTTCTTCAGAATCTTCATCAGAATCTTTACTTGCAATATCATCTTCAATTTCATCACGAACATCTTTAGCAATCGTATCACGAAATGTATAATCTTCAGATGTCCAAAATCCTGTATCGTCACTTGAAGGTTTCTCATAAAATTTTTTTGTTTCTTCATCAGGAATAAATCCATTGGGTCTCGACGGCGACGATGGTGATTGAGGATAACGTTTGGAAGAAATTTGTTTTTTATTACTATAGATTTCACTAGTAATGCCATACGCCGATCTTGAAGAAGGTGGTGATCGTGAACGATCTGAACGTTTATTATTGACCTAAAAGCAACATAGATTGTACTCAGCAAAGTTGAATATTTCTGGTTTCATGTGAATATTAAGAGAAAGGAGTATTATCGCAGTTAATACTCTATTGAAATATGAACTCACGTTTCATTCACATATGTTGTAAAACTAAGGATTCTACTACATCCGTATTAGTTTTGGTGTTGAGTCTGCTACAGACTGAGATTAACAAAAATATTGTTCATTTGTCTGCCCGGAGAAGAGCGGGATATGTTTTTACCTGTGGTGTAATCCTCGCAGATTGTATTCCACAAAAACTTTGACAATCTAAGCATTTGCAAATGTTAAATTTCAGAGTAATTAATATGGCAGATCTTTTTTTAATTGTTATCCTTCAGAATCTTTGTCTGCCTGGTACAAAGCCTTATTATTGAATAGCCAATTTTAGAATCGAAGAAAAGGGTTTTTCATCCTTAGTCATATTTATAAGATGGTTGTAATCTGAAGACTCGAGTGTGACTTTAAAATGGTATCCAGCTTTAAATTATGTAATCAAGTGAAGCAAATTGGTAAGTGCCTTCAAATTAGGAAATCATTTTTGTTCTTTTCCTCTAAAAGAAAAATTGTTATATTTGCGAAGCCTATTGAAGTTCATTTCTATGAAATACCTATGACCGCACTATTGAATTATCATAGCCATCACAACATGCATTTTAATAATTAGCGTAAGTTAAATCCTAAGTTAATCGATAGAACTTACCCGATATTTATAATCGTCATCTTGTTTATCCGACCGTGAATATGATCGACGACTCATTATTAGTACAATATTTATTGATCTTTAAGATAAATATATCGTTCTATAAATAATAAGTTCACGCTGAATCCATAATCATTTTTAATTTGCACACTTCTGACTTTTCAACTGAGCATTATTAATTTGAATAAAAACAAAAAGAAGCGCAGCGAATAATAATAGGAAAAGAAAAAAGAAAAAAAACGGAATTACAATACATTAGTGGAAAGGCAAAGTATACTAAAAATTAACACACACAAACCTTTTTTTCTTTCCCCTTGTGTTTTAAATCCATGTTATAATATAACCTTCATACAAATCAGTCAATTCCTTCAACTTAAAAAGAACAGGTGACTAGGAAGCAAAGCATTAATGAACATTGCACGATAGCGTTGTTTGAGTTTTTTGGTTTCTACCATAATTGTGTAAATTCAACACCAATCCAATTGTTTTCACGTTTCTTCCAATAATAATGAGATGGATCGTCATCCCGAATCAATACATAATGATCACCTTCACATTTGAACCATTTCGGACTTGAATTAGTAGTAGCCCTTGATCGTTGTGCTGCTTCAATGCGAGCTTTTTCTTTTTCAGCCTGTTCGACTTGACCCGCTTCGAGAAGACTAATGTGAATTAAAGAAAAGCCCATAAAAAATTAAATAAATTATAGAAATTTAACAAACCGTTGATCAGGTCGAAAACGTGTATCGGTTGCTGGCAATTGTTGACGAAGATCTTCATCAAGCTCATTTAATTCAATAGCAAATCGTGTAAAGCCATAATATTGCTTTGAATTTTCAGGCACAGCACCTATACAATGAAAGACGATAGATATTGGTCAAGTAACAAGCTTCCGTTTTATCAATAAGCCAAGTTTTAAACATCGTATCAAAAACGAATCAAATCCGTTTGACTTATCTCTATATATACACTTGACTCCAAGAGCATATCATTCGTGTCATGTTAATTTTTAGTGTTTAAAAAATGTTAACACAACTATTCTTAGAATTATCTTTGAGAAAGAGTAAAATAGTTGAGCTTATTGTAAAACTACTATGCAGAATATTCGCTCAATGTATGATACATACTTTGTCGCCAAATACATTTTGCCGTTTGATCATTTCCACAATAAACTTCTTCGTGCCAACGACCAAATAGTTTATGTACTTGTTTTCCATTAATATCTTCAATGACTCCCACGACATTATTTAAACGTGTCCCATAATCACTCTAAAATGAAATGGTAAATCTAACTAATTTTATTCAATTGAAAAATAATAGCAATACAAACTTGTATCAAACTTATACGAGATTTATTTCCTAATGAACTTTCAACAAGAACATCACCATAATGATCAATCCATCTTTCAGGCGAAAGAACATTATGTATACACATCGTACATTTATTCCATGTTATTGTTTCGTTATATTTTTTAAATGTTAATACATTTAATGAATCAGGAAAAATTTCTATTTAAAAACAAACAATAATTATTTAACGATACTAAAAGAAAACGAGATATGTGATACCCATTGATTTTCCCCAAAATTTAATTTTTGCTTGTAATTCTAAACGAACAGCAAGAAATAGAAAACCTTTTCTTTCTCGTTTGTAAAAATCATACGCTGCGAAAATATAAAATTTGGCGAATCGCAAGTACAAACACTAATGGGTGGATGATGACTGACCTACGAAGGAATTATTTAAAAACTAAAATAAAGCAATCGAAAATGCTGTTTTCTTCTTACTTGTTCAGCAATAAATTTCCATCCTTTATCTTCTCGTATACATTCATATGTTTCACCAAGTAATGGATTGAAATTCTTTCGGCCAGTTCGATAATAATTTGATGAATATGTCGATACAATGAATGCAGCCACATAGACAAGACGTAGCAAAGCATCATCGGTTTGTGATGCAAGATCAAGTAAATCGGAATATTCCATTTCTTCACATAATTTTTGTAATAAACCCAATGGTTCATTTAATACAATTGGCATTGCTATGCGAGATAGATCTTTGCCGATTGATTTACGCATTATATTCCATAAACCAACATTTGTTGTGTCCGGTGCACCTGCAGGTAAAGATGACCGACGCCATTTCATTCTTGGTGGCTCTAAAATGAACAACAGTTAACCTTTGGAAAAAAAAGTTAAAATACAAATATTTACCTAATTGAGGTAGAGCGGATATTTGACGATCGAGTTCACCGGTATGACTTTCATCTTCGCCATCGCTTGATGATTCTGATTCTGACTATTAAAACAAGAACAGCAAATACATAGAATTATCATATAGATTTTGTTTCTAATTCATACAACTTATAACTCTTTGTTTATCATAATCGATTTCTATTATTTAAGTATTCATAGTTAGGTCACATTTAACGGAATTGAATTATCAACCGACAGTGAAATTCTCTATTACTAGCACTATATACGTATCTCTTATCTGTTTTTTACATACTAATTTTCCGAATCCATCTTTGCCACCATGAGCTATTAGCGCACTATGAACATCTAGTGCATCATAAAAAACTGATCCTTGTCTTGACATTGACCCCGATGGTGATAATGAATGATAAACAATATCACCGTCTCCAATTGATGTATTAGTCTAATAAAATCAAAAAACATATCAATGTTGGTTTTTTTAATTCAATAAAAAAGAAACAAGATTTCTTTACCAGTTGTTTTTGTTGTTCCAAAGCAGCGATCGACATATATTTATATAGATTGTTTAAATTGTCAAAAACTATATAAAACGATTTTTTTAAGTATTATTTTTTTCATATTAAAAATCTAACTTTTTTTTGCTCCATTATAATAATCTTGTCGATGCATATCAAGTAATGTCGTGGAACTGACACTACTGATACTAGCTGATGGCGTATGGCCGCTTACTTTACTTCCTTCCTAAACGATAAACATGAAATCCAATGTCTAGTCGAAAAATAAAAACAATATTTACCGTTGATTTTGATGATATACTAGTTGGCGTACAATTTGTATTTACTTTGATATGCTCAAGTATATCTGATAGAGTACTCAATTGTTTTTGAATGCCTGCAAAATCTATTTTTGATATAGAATAAAGGAGATAAAATTTAGAAAAACAGTAAAAGTGAAATCTTACCCTTGTAAAGAAAACTATCAGATGATGATGGAACACTTCAAGAAAAAAATCAACGAATATTTTTTAACTTCATGTTTAAATAGTATTTTACTTATTTGAAATATTATTTTCGTTATTAGTTTGTTTGTTTTCGCTGTCAATAATTGGGCGATATCGTTCAAGTATGTCTTGTCGATATTTTCTATGTAATGCCATTTGCTCAAGCCATTGTTCAAAGATTTTTTTTTCTTTTATTTTTAAATGATAAACACGATTGGATTCGTCAATATCGATACGTTGTGTTTCACGAATAAATGTTACAAAACATAAACCAATATCGCATTTAGCATTTAATCGGCCACGTTTTATCTTAACAAATAAAACAATATTTTATTTGACTTGTAATCATGAGAAGTCAATTTATTTACGTCTTGCTCAGATTTAGTATATATCAAATAGCCGTTTTCCAGTTGAAAAAAACGTTTATGCCAACCTCGATAAGGCCATTTACGTTTTTTTATTATATAATTCGATATGGTAACCATTGATTTTGATGGATCATCATTAGGACTTACTTGTAGAACTTCGGCCGCGTATCTCTAATGAAGTTTAGAAAAACAAAATACGACAGCAATATAATCATTAGTGATGAGATGAAAAATTTCATTCTATTTTTCTGATTTCTATTTTTACATACCTTACGTTGTTTGGTTCGTTTTGGACCAGTTGCTGATACTGATTTATCGATAACTCCTCCCTGTACATCATCATCCGAATCATCACCGATATCCGAATCACTGAATAACTAAATAAATATATATATTTTATAATCACATATGAATAATAAAAATAATGATTATTATTATTATTAAAAACTTAAAGCAGCGATTTTTCAAATGATCATCTCACTTGATCATCAACGTCATCATCTTCATCAGCTGTTACTAACACATGTGATTTATTTGGTGTTGTTCGGCGTTTCTTTGGGAAAAGATGGATTTCATAAACGCCATCATTTTGTATTTCTTCCAATGTTTTCAACTTTAATGCTTTCTTACTTTTTTGGTCACTCATCATTAGTCCAAATAAGTCTATAGCATGATCGAACGTCACAAACGTATTTTATATAGCGAAAGTAATGTGTGAATAAATAATATGTTTTTCGTTCGTTCGTTCTTTCGTCGATGCATTTGTTTTGAATGAGCGAAGACACAAAAGCAAATATAAATATAAATATTTCCCTTGAAGGACACAGGTGAGTGAGCGTATTCGTCATGAAACGAAAAAAAAAAATTTTTCAAATACCTTTACAATCAATTAGAATATTGAATTTGCTTTCAAACTGTTAGACGCTGTACTGTTTGAATTAATAAAACTATATTCATGTTATGAAAATAACGTGATGCTATATATCGACGTCGGACGATTAATAATTAATCAACTTTTTATCATGAATTCAACGACAATAGAGCATGACTAGTAAGTAAAAGATGGGAAAAGAAAGAAAAGAGAAGACTTTACTAAAAAAATTTCTATAAAAAAAGAGATCTTTATTCTTGTTTGTCGAAATTTAAAGAAAGAAACTAGAAAATTTTTTCCAAGTATTACTAATACTCGAAACCTTCGTGATTACTAAGTAGTACTTAAACAATGCAAAAGAATTGCCTTTATTTAGATCAATAAATTCTTCATGATGACAATAATTGGCATCGACAAATATTTTGTCCAGTATGAAAAGCCCTTCATTGATGACAAGTATGGATGAAGTCAAATAAAACTAAATTTGTTTCTATTGAGAAGCCCCAAAGCTTCGAAACTTTTGTAAAAAAAAATGACAAGTTTTATTTACTATGATTTTTATTTTCACCTGATCAGTATCTGTTGAAATAGGAAATCTTAATTGTGATTCAAGCGCAAAAGGTCGTACAAATGAATCATGTATAGTTAATAATGGTGTTGTATTCTGCATAGTATCGTCTATTCTAAATTGATTATTAAATGATATATTAACATATATAAAGATGAGGCTGAAAAGTGTACGATTAATAGCTGATAGACAAGAATAACTAATAAAAGTAATACCGGAAAGTTTACTTCCTTTAATCGTAATGTCAAAGGACAGTAAAAGTGATAGAAAAACAACAAATGACATTAGCCTAACATGATAGCTATAGTATGAACATGATTTTTCTACGTTTTTTTAGAACAACAGAAGTAATTATTAACTTACAGAGTGAGTCTTTGGATTTTTTTCTGTCGAATTCATTGATATTGTTGTCGCTGTTTTATGCATTATTATATTTGCTTTGACACAAACACAATATATGGCCTGTTATTAAATACACGCACACACGAGTAGGCGCCAAAGGTAAAGAGGATAAACTAACATGCAAGTGATATTAGTCAGCAAGATTAGGAATCAAAAACATGAAGGCAGATCAATATTATAGATGAATTATTAAAACTTTTTTGTCGTATATAAAAATTAATCTCTTGATATATATATATATATATTTGTTTCTCTCACATGGATGGATATAGAATGGAACCAATCTGAAAACAAAAAAATCGTTTTATCAATATAATACAGTTTTTTTCCAAAGATGTCGCTTAAATAATGTTAAAATGAAAACACATATTAAACAATTAATTTCAACGGCATTTTTCGTTGATTAATACAGCTTGGCTTTTGACATTTTTATTATTTGTTTTTGTTTCAAGTTCGTGTTTTTTAATGCAACATTAAAAAGGCGAATATTTTATGCTTTTGTTTTTCAACAGGTAGTTTGTTTATTTCGATAGAAATTATTTTCGTGTTCACATTTTTTTTCTCACTACTACTCCTTATATCAATATTAACAGGAATGATTTGCTTACCAGTCAAAGTTTTTTGTTTATTGACTTTTTACTACGACTGAAGCACGGTAGTTAACGAAAACATAATTAAGATAAAAATAAATTGTATAATAACTTTCAAAAACAGCATGCTCTATTTTGTTACATTGATGTGTCTAAACTATTATCATGATCATATTTTTCTGTTATTGAAAAAATTCTCTGTAGCAATATATGATATTGTAAAAATCCTCATAGATTTTCTTTTTTACATTATTAACGGAATTGTATTCGTCATTAATGTTACTCAACACACACTTGGGTTTTTATTAATAATAAAGAATTTGAATGAAATGCAGATTTAACTTGTTTAGATGCTTTCAAAATATGATTGAAATCAGGTAAAGAAAAATATTCTACATGTCTAATATAAGTGACTAGCAACGAAGTAGTCTGTGAATAGTGTGTAAGTCATTTTTAGACTGTTAAAAATAATTCATTAAAAATGAATTACTCATCTAGTTCAATGTTTAGAAATAACCAAAACAATTGCATGTAATATAGAAATAAACGATTGACCTTATGACTACACCTTTGGGAATAAAGCAAAGTTTTCTTTTTTGCTAATTTCCATTGCTGCACGTTCTCAGTTTCATATTTACTCTCTCTCTCTCTCTCTCTTTGTATGTTTTCAGCTTGCAACGTATATGAAGTAAATTCATTCATATGAATCACAGTTATGTAGAAAATATATTGATCGAGAGAGAGAGCAAAATGCATATTCTTGCATGCCATTGCTTCTTGAAAAACAACGTATTTTCATTTACGGAAATTTATCATAGAAAATTCTTTATTCTATCAGATGAAAATTATTGAAATTTAACAGAAGAAGAAAACATTAAAATAATGAATTCAAATGTTCAATACAGCACAATTAAGAATGTCGTTTTTCATATTTATTTCTGATCATGAAGTCAAATCTGCATGTGATTTTCTCTAAAAAAAAATATTGTAATTTAAATCAGAAAGCACACTCGGTCAAAAGGTCATCAAATAGTTCTAAAAACAATACAAGAGTTCGATTTTCTGAGTCATTGAGTACTATTCTCCAAGAATAGCTTCTCACAAACTATCTCGCCTGAAGAAGCAGTAATGATGTATCTCCAAGGGAGGTCGTCACTCGGGAATCTTGTGAAGTTTTAGTTTTATTCCCAGGAGAACTTCAAGATTATCTTAATTGTTTTCTATTGCATTGATTTAAGAATAAAACTCCTTCGATCCTTCAACTTCGACGAGTTCGTTACGCGTAGAATGGAAAAACAACATTTCTTTTTCAATAAAATCTCCATCGGTATGCAGTTTTCATATTTTTTTTTAACAGAAGAATTTTCAAAAGAAGTACTTATATAGTATAAAAAAATTTACAAATCAAAGAACGATAATAAACTTTGTACACATAACCAGAAACAAATGTACAGCCCACAAACAAACAAAAAAACGTCAAGAAAAATACCAAACGAAATGTTCAAGAAATATAAGGGTTCGCTATCTGACACTCACACTCACACGCACACACACTTATTTAAACGCAGAAAACGGAAGAAAAAGCCTGAGGAAAAAGTATAAAACTGAGAGTTCAAGTATATCGATATTTTCGTACTGAATCTGTTGTTAAATCAACACAAAGTACACACCCATCGCGTGTTGTGGCCAATGAACATGGTCTTCGCAAACGTTGACTGTGTGAATCAATCATACGTAATAGATGACCATGATTATTATAGATTTCAATATGAGCAATTCCATCTTTTCCACATTTTCCCGCCAATAAAAGACCATTGACATCTACACATAGTGCCGTATAAAATCCTGGGAGCACAAAAACAAAATTAAAAGAAACCAGTCAGAATAATGAAAATTTTGTTTTTACCTCCTTTCGATGCTAAACTATTTGAAGATGTCGATTCATCAGAATTCGCTGCTAGCGACTGTTGTTGTTTGTAATATGTTGGTATAAGATCGGGTGGCTGATGAGCAATATGAATATCGACATCAACAATTTGTTGTTGTTTTGTAGAAACTATCTGTCGTAAATATTTTCCTTCGTAAGATAAAATATGCAAATGATGATCACCAATAATAATTTCATCTTGCAAGCCGATTGTGAATGCTTTTATAGTTTTAATACCTAATGAACGTGGATCAATTTTATGTATTAAATCACCTGTACGACTATCAATAATTAATAATGTATTGCTGTCACATATAAGTAAAGAATGAAGATGCTGCTTAAACAAAGCTATTTGTACAGGTTCATTAAACGCTGAGCAGGTGATTTGATGATTTATATTAATCTGACTATTTTCCATTAATGATGTATCAGAATTTGTTAAAGAAAATGCACTTATTAATTTACTTTTCCAATCAAGAAGATAATATGTTGATGTGGAAGAACGATATGCTAGACCGGTACTTGTAGGTTCAAGAAGAGAATCAGTTGCTAAAAATAAAAACAATGATTAGATATTACTTATGATATATGAAATATTTTCTTCATAGAATAATACAACAGAAAATTTAATAGGACTCTTAGATTATTAACAAAAGAAAGAAGAGAATGACTATTTCAGATATGCAATAGATAGAGGTCATCGACACAATGCGTCATAGTCTGAACGTAGCAACCAATTATGTCCTGATTATTGCAAGATGGTCCTCAATGTTTGCAGAGAAAATATGTAGTATGCTAGTAGTACAATACAAAGTGATTATATCACTTAAATTGAAAATGCTTCATTAAAACAAAGATAGTCTGTTTCGGTTAAACAGGTTCTATTAGTAGAAGTAAATAAGATTAAGTGTTTCTTGATTTAATTTTGATGTCAGTTAAAATTTAAAACAATAAACCGTTCATTCAAAGCTTTAAAATTATACTATAAATGGCATAGTAGCCTATTATGAAAAATATATAGTGTTAGAATGAAATTTTTGACTATTTATCAAGTAACAGTCATTATTAAGCGTAAGCCTTAAATTGTTTCAACGATCAAATTGAATTGAATAGAATCCAATATTTATAAACTGCAACGAACATAAGAAAAAATAATTTTTTCTGTTCACTGAAATACCAGTGAAGCTAATTTTCCAATATAAAATAGCCATTGTCATTGATTAATAAATGAAAACCAACAGAACAATGTCTTTTTTTATCCTTACCAAGATGTCCCATGAGTTTTCCATCATGTGTTAGACATTTTATTCGACTATTTCCCGGATCGAGTACATACACCACTTGTTCTCGTTCTGTACAATCATTAACAATGACACTCACCGGCATTGATAATTCATTTTCACCACGACCTCGTTTACCTTTTAAATTAGAAAATTAAAATTTCAAAAACGAAATCTCTCTTTTTTTTTTACCAAATGACCATAATGGATTATTATGTTGAGTTACATGAACAACAAACGGTGAACCTGATATAGGTCGATCAAATATTCTTATATCAATTTTATGATTTCCACTTATCAATGGACGAAATATAATGGTATATGTTCCACATTGTTTATCATGAAAGTTATATTCACATAATTTTCTATATGGATCATAAATGTTAACTGTTAATGGATCACCGCCATCCATACGTATATTTCCATTATAATCAACTGTTTCAATATGAATAGCACACTGAAGATTAGCAACAGCGGGTTCAATTTTTGCTGTACACAAAGGCGGATATGTGGATGATACGCGTATACGACCAACACTATTTAATGAACGTGCTAAATCTTGTAATGCTTGATTATGTCGAAATTCAAATTTCATAAATGAATTTTCTCGTGGTTCACCTAAAAGTGACATACGTTCAATACGATCGTTTAATTCTTGAATGCGTTGAGTTAATATATGAATATCCGATGCTTGTTGAAATACAGCACATTCATGTTCAATTTTACTTTTTTCATCTATGAAAAAGAAAATATAAATATAAAAAGAAAATAACGAAATTGTTAACGGTTATCTACTTGTTATAACATTTAATTGATCATTTAAAACTGTCAACTTATGATCTTTTGTTCTTTTAAGTGATTGTAATAAATTATTTCGACGATTTTCTACATAACTTTTTATTTCATTAAATGATCGATTTACTGCTTCAGCTAATAAATAATTAATTATAAAAATGGAAATTTTGTTTATAGAAAAATTTACCAGCCTTTTCCATACTACTGTCAAGTCGCATGATTTCACTGTTAACAACTTCAAGTGCATGATCCAAACAGTTAATAGCTATGTTGGAAATAAAACAATTAGAATTTCTTATGATTATAATCGAAATATCTAGAGATTCACAACCAGAATGATAAAAGCAAAACATTCTTATCTTACAATCTAGCAACGCATGATTTTAGAAAAATCTTCAATAGACTAAATACATAGAAATCTATTTTCTAAATAACTCTTAATACATTTAAAACGTTCTTCTATTGATTTCAATGGAATTCTTACTTTTGGATGCTTTGAAAAATAAAATTTCATTCATGCGTTTAATAGCTAATGAAAATGGTACAATTGTATGTTCAGCTGATATTTGATGTTGATCACATAATTGACAAAAAATCTTATCGCATGTTTCACAAAATAATAATTCTTCATTCGAGTGTAAATTACATTTAGGAATAACGTCACGACGTAATCGAAGCATCAAGTCAAGTAATTGATTGACGATAAATGATGGCGGAAAAGAAGTAACACCACCTACGAATTTCAATTATTCTCTTTTTTAATAAGAAAAACAAATAATATTATTTATTTATAAAGTTACCTCTGGGTAATAATATATGTTCCCGACAGATTGGACCTATTTATTAAAAAACCAAAAAGCCTTAGAAAAACAAGTTTCTTTTTTCTTTCACATACATTTAATGGCATCGGATCTTGGTTGGGAATTTACAATACGTTCTAAACACTGTCGACAAACCGTATGTGAACATGGTAATAATTTTGGTTGATGATCACGGGAATCCGATGAGAATTGATTGATACATGTTGAACATGTTAGAAAGTGTTCAGTAAAATCTTTAGCATTAATATTGATTGTTTCGACTAATGTTGAGCCCATCTATGTTTCTTGATCGATTGCTTTCTTCGAATTTATTATTGTAAATAGATATATGTATATATATATATATATATATTGTTGTCACATCACATCTGAAGCTTATATATATATATACGTATGTATAGATTATATCTGTATGATCAACATGAATTGACATTGATGCATGATCCGACAAAAAAATACAGAATAGAGTAACGGCAAGGACACATACAACCTTGTCTTTCAGTCGTCAAAACTGTTTCACTGTACTTTACTCTAGTCGTTGACACACCCCAATTAGATACATATAAATGCAGACAATAAGCAAAGATCATGCAACTATCATATCACTGATATGATAAGCCAACTGAGTCAAGGAGAAGCAGAGAAAAAGAAGATAGATACATTATATACATGTTCTGCATTTCTCTAACGAGATTTGACTCATTGAAGGATTTTTTATAAAAGATAAGAATTAGCAAGATATACATAAATAATTATTATTTTAATATATATGTACATGGAAGGACAAACATCAAATCTATTCATATATTCTTCGAAATATATCGTGCGTTTTATCGTAGTAACTATTTCTAATTACTCTAGAGATTTTTCCAAGAGCCTTGCAACATAAAACTACGCCAATGATGAATTTTAATAGCCTTATTTAGTAGAAATTCTGAATAAATCTACTATATAACAAGAAGATCAATAGGAAAAACGTATTATTATTATTTATCTATTCAATAGATTCTAATTATTTCCGAACTGTCAAATCGTAGAGATCAATAATTTTATTGAAAAAGAAATCTAGAAAAAACACTTACTAAACTTATATCGTTTATCTCGAGTTTTAATGGCACACGAGTTTCTATTCGTGAAATGGTGATTCACAAGTTCACTCCTATTTATTTGACCTGTCGTTGTTCGTATGAGTATGGCGTGAGTATCTCGTTTAAAAACATGTGCCAAAAAGAAAAAGAAAATGCGTCGTTATACATTTATTAAAGAAAGAGAAACATTAATATTTTCTTTCTTTTCCATAGGTCAATCATAATAATACAGAGAAAAGGTTTCGGTCTATTAGACATGCTCTTGTTATTTAACAAATCTATTTCCGCAGGATTTATAACTTACTTGTACTAATGATGAACAAACGCACGACGGGTGTGTCATTGCATTCATTCATTCATTCAAACACTAACACTAACAATGAATGACATTTGCGTTACTGATGATCATGCTTATTTTGGAATGGTGTGAACGAGAAAAGAAAAAAAATGAAAAGAAACATAAGAAAAAAAGCGAAATGACGACGATGACGATAGACATATCAATAAAATTTTCTTTCATTCTCTTCTTTTATTCTGCGCAAATCTCTCTCAGATGACATGATCATCTGCTTGTTCTCGTGCATTGTTACTTTTGGTCTGCTGATGTTAGATAGAAAAAAATAGAATGATTACAAAGTGAGAGAGAGAGAGAAATAAAAAAAAAAGGACTAGTTCGCCCGAGCAGGGGCTCGAACCCTGGACATTGTGGTTAAAAGCCACACGCTCTACCGACTGAGCTACCCGGGCTACATTTATGAAATCGAGAGTTTTTTAATTGTTCTATATCACTTCGTTAATGAATTCTTAATACGATAAAATCTTACTCTAATTTTCACGCACTCATGTAAAGATCTTTTTATTGATATATTTGTGATGATTTTAAAGGTCTAAGTGTTTCTATAAAAGCACTTTCACACCACGACATTTAATCGTGTGTGCGTGCCAGGGTCGAAAGAGGCAACATAAGCAAAAGATCGACCTTGGGTCGTGTCATTTATTTCGATACTCGAACATTTTTCATTCTCCAGATATTCTTAAAGAATATATACAGAGAGAGAGAGAGAGAGTAAGACGAGTTATCACTGTTTTCAAGGTTCGATTATATGACTACCGAAAGAGTAAATCAAAGACAAATCTTGTGCCATATAATAATGATAGTAATAATGACAGAAGTACATGATGCTGTTCATTATATTATACATTCGATCAATCATTCATTTGCTCGTCATTACATAAAGACAATGTATAAATGTGCTGTGTTTTATGGAACATAAGTTTTTGTTATTATTTCTTTTTGAAAGCATTATATCAATAATATCAGATTACTTTGATTCGATATAATAGAAGAGAGTAAAACAAGAATATTTTCTCATGCTTTTATAACCTTTTCATGCCCATTTGATTATGACTATCTGTCAATTATGATAACAGCAAGCAAGCAAGTTTAAATCCATATGTGTAAATCTCTTAATAAATATTATATGATCAGGCGAGAATATATATATATATATTGATTGAACACGCCCAGAAAAAAACCATGCTAAACTGAGAGCTATCGAAGTAAGAGGAAAAAAATCTATCAAAAATGTATGAAATAAAACCTTACAAAAGAAATCACTTACATTTTATTTTACAACCTATCAATATCAGATGTAGACGAGACTACTCACTCACACAATCACTTTTGATCTATTCTTTTCTTTCGCTCCCAGTTTTGTACCTATTCCCCATGTATTCTCATGCAATACTATGTTCATTTTTTCGCTTCGCTCTCTCTCTCTCTCTCTCTCACTCTCTACTTTTGGTCTACTGCGTCGATTACGGTTCGAACATCGTATGCAAACAAATGCAGCAATATATTTAAATGAGGCTCGTCTCCTCCTTTTTTCCTACCGCTATTAAATAATAATCATATCAATGAAAGAACATACACATAGACATAGAGCGAGAGCAGAAAAAGAATATGAAAGGGAATGTCCTCTCACCACATCCACTATTGATGGTTCAAACGGGACAAGGAGTTCGAGATTATTCCTCATCATGTCAAACTATGCATAGTATATAATCGTAATCTTATGTTTTAAGTAAACACAAAAGAAATCAAAGTTCGCACAAACAAAACAAAATCACTTTGATGCTAATATACGCATATTTCACACACTTTAAATAAAGTCGAATGAGATATACATCGAACAGAGTACAACTCACACTATTAATTTGATTTTTATCTTTACTTCAATAGGAGTTTTGTATGCATGTACGCTATTCAATGAGTAGGATAAAGACGCTTGACAAAATTTCGACAAGGTCAGCTCGCATGAATCTTATTTCGTTGACAGCATATCTTTCTACATCTTAAGTTAAGAAATAAAGCTAAACTAATTTCCCCCTACAAATCAAACATTATCTTGTTAATCAAATCATGCTATCGATTAGGGATGCAACGGTGAGAAAATGTTGAAGCTGGTAAGAATACGAAAAACCTACGATGAAGGCTGGCACATTAGCATTGCTGGGCTGTCTTAATAGAGTGCCGTCTGAATAACATAAAAAATCGGTCATCACTGTAGGTTCTTCATCAGTTTACCGGCTTTCACCGGTCTTAACGATATGCCTGAAACTGCATCGCTACTCTCGATATAGTAATCTGCTTTTTCTTTCAATTTACATCGTATCGAAAAAACAATCAATTCAATATTAAAATTATTTCGAAATGGAATTACACAAGTAAGATGTTGTTTGTTTGAAAGGATTCCACTATCAAAGAGTATTGTGAACTTAAAAAATGATTAGGCTATATTGCTTAACATTTACAACTCAAGTAACCATATAAATCCTTCCGATTGATAGCTGAACCTAGTAGTAAATGTATCATTTCTCCTTTTGAATTCGTTTTCGTTACAATCTATTAGGTATTTTTTGAAGATAGATAATTTCAATACTTACAAAAAGGAATCTAACCTATTAACTAATCTTGATTGAGGTCAATGACTCGTATTCAACTTGAATGATAGTATCAAATTAAGAAAGGACACAATTAGATCGAAGTTGATTTTTTTCCATGATTACCCACAATTCGAGCACAAAAATAATTGTGAGCAAGAATATACTGTTACAATAACGATTTCACATTGCATGGTTTTTTTTTTTGTTTATTTACAATTACGATAACATGTTGTCCAACGAAAAATATCTAGATCTATTCATTTCCTCGAGGTTTTGCCTATTAAAAAAAATAACGGAAGAAACAGTAAACACTCTTGAGGAATGCAAATAACATTGAACGAGTGGCAAAATTGCTTTTGATTCTCCTTTAACATATACAGCCATCAACTTAAAATAGATAGGAATAAATCTATGTTTATTGAGCTACGTCTTAGGAAAAACAAATTTGGAAGACAAGGTCTACTTCGTTTCACCGGATATCAAAAATACTTGCAGTAATTTGTCGTATCGTCTATAGAGGGCATCGAGATTTTGAACTAGAATTTCTTCCCTATGTAAAAGTCTACTGTATTAATATTATATCTAGACAGCCAATCAATTCATTGAAATTATAATCTTTCACAATAAAGGAAGTTTTCATGTTTTTTTTTATAGTTTTGAAGAAACATTGTACGATAAAGCATAAATCGCCCGCTTAAATTTCAATTAGAAGAAACGTACTTGTCATCAAAGTATCAATTAAAAATCTATTGAAGTATTTAGAAAAAGATCGAAAGTTTTTATTAATTTTAGTAACCCCAATGACTTATCCAAACGTGGATAAATAACGCTAAAAATCAATTTTCTAAACGTTCTCTATTTTATTCAATGAAATGGGAAGGTGTTAGAAAATAATTCAATTCCTCTAAAAGATACATGGTAGTAAACGAGATGATGGATACTCAAAGAAAAAAAGAAAGAAATATTCATGTTCGTATTGAAGCCAATTCCAAGACGACCAACTACTAATCGACTTCTATAGAAAAAAAAACAATTATAATTAGTTTGTAATAATTTTATGATTTTCTTACGTCTAATAATTGTTATTCAACCCTGGGTAGTGAAAATGATTGAGGATGAACATATGGCGAACGAAAATCATTTTGGCAATTGCTATAACCCATTCCTAAACCTATTCCTGTTCCCAAGAAGACAGGCCATGGACGACCTTGTTTAAAAAGAAAATGTTACAAATATCATCCTTCGTATTTATGCATGACTTACGTTTGAACAGTACTGCAGAAAAAACAATACCCAAAGCAAGACCCGATGCTGGAATACAAACACAAAACAAAATAATATTCAGTTTCATTGATCATAAGAATTCAAACCTGTTTTTACAATTGTATCTGTCGTACATCGGTCCCATTTATCACCATAAACATCTTCAGATTTTAATGGACGATTTGGTGTTGTCATCTAAAAATATATAGACACTATTAGACTGAACCGTTGAAACAACATATTTCCAAAAACAAAATACTGATTGTTAATGTGCCATTTTCAAAAATGTATATATTGATTGGTTTGGAATTTAACAAATCCTGTTAAAGTTCGCTAACAACGACGTCTTTTATTTCATCAATAGTGTTTGTCTCTCATTCATAGATACTAATACATATTAATTGTAACTGTTTCTTTGTGGTTTATTCATATGGAAAATCATAAAAAAGAAATTCTTTTAAACTAGCCTAATTTTTTCTTAAAACTTTCGAAATAATATATATAGAAAATCTATTTCGTCCATTTTTCCTTTACGCTAAAACGCACAGCGCCAATACACGCTTGTTATATTGACCAATCAATTTCGAAGAGTGTGTCTGTCTGTTTTTTTCTGCATTCATTGCTTTTCAACTTGACGTATTAATTGTGGGACAGAAACAATAACCATGAATGTCGATGAAGTTTTAAATTATCAAGTGAGAAATTCTGATTGCTTGCTGACTCAAAACTCAGCAGATATATCTTTGTTTTGTATTTAACAGCCAGCAAAACCTGCAGTTTCAGCAGCTAATGCTTCCAATAAACGAACTACTGATGCAGGAATGGCATTACCTGTCGGATATCCGAAACGTACCAAACGTCCAATCTTGGACGATGGTCCTATGCTATCATCAAATGGTTCATCAATTAGTTCAGCGAATCTTGCATCATTAAATAGCGAAGAACGTGATAAACTTTTACAAATGCTTGAGCAAGAATCATCCGTGAGAATATTTACCCAAATGATTCTTCTTTTGTCATTAGAAAAATAATTTGTTGCCTTTAGACAGTAGAATTGGATGAAACATCTTTGAAACGTATGCTTTCACAACTTGAAAAACGTATTTCAAAAAATCAAGAAATGCGTATTAAATATCCAGATCAACCAGAAAAGTAATTTTAGAATTTAGGAAAAATTGAATTTTGTGTCATTTACAAAAACAATTTATTTATTAACCTATAGATTTATGGATTCAGAAATTGAATTAAACGATGCTGTACAAGAATTACATGCAGTTGCAACACAATCTGATCTTTATCATGTACTCGTTAATATGAATGGAATAAATTTATTAATGGGCTTGTTGACGCATGAAAATACCGATATTAGTATTGCTGTTATTAGTCTTCTACAAGAATTAACGGATGTCGATACATTAACTGAAAGTGAAGAACAAGCGACAATGCTAATTGATGCACTTGTAAGTTTCTAGAATAAATTTAAAGGACAAACAAATATTTTACTCTCTTTTTCTAATTAGGCTGAACAACAAATCGTTTCATTACTTGTTCAAAATATGGATCGACTTGATGAAAATGTTAAAGAAGAAGCAGATGGTATACACAATTCATTAGGTAAAAAATCATATTGAATAGAAACATAAAAGTTATTATTTTTTGTTCTTATAGCTATTGTAGAAAATATGACTGAATTTCGAACTACTCTATGTATTGATGCATGTAAACAAGGCCTATTAACATGTTTACTCAAACGTTTAAAAGTAAGCAAAAAGAAGAATATTTACAGACAAAGACACCGTTTTTTTTTCTTGTTAGATTAAAGCACCATTTAGTTCAATTCGTCTTTATTGTTCAGAATTAATGTCGATTTTATTACAAAATCATGATGAAAATAGACAGATGCTTGGCGAATCAGACGGCATTGATGTACTTTTACAACAGCTTGCAGTAAGAAATGTGTTTCATCAAATCTTTTCGTATTCGAATCCCTATGAAATATTTAAACTGTAATTATTTTAAAGATTAAGTTAGGCGAGATGACTGATGAGTTTCTCTGGTAACTTCAAATCTGAAAATTGATTGGTAAATAACGAAATCTTGCAAAGGGTTAAACTTGGAAAATTACGCCTTTGAGTAAAAGAGTCAGGAAAAAAGTTTTAGAACTAAAGACACAAATCTAGCTTACATGTTTCTATCGAAAGTATTCATTGACCAATCAAAATATTTTCAATATCTTTAGTACTACAAACGACATGATCCTCAGACAAGTGAAGAGTTCGAATACATGGAAAATTTATTTAGTTGTTTATGTTCATCATTAATGTTTGCTTCTAATCGTCAACGATTCCTGAAAGGTGAAGGGCCTCATCTTATGAACATTATGCTTAAGTAAGAACCGATAGTTCTATTTTATTTCATTAATTTTTTTCTTTTTCGCACAATAGAGAAAGAAAAGCTTCACGCAATGGCGCATTAAGAACATTGGATTTCGCTATGACTGGCGTTGAAGGAAAAGATAACTGTCAAATAATTGTTGATATACTTGGTTTACGTACAATATTTCCATTATTTATGAAACCGCCTAAAGGACATAAACGATCTGGTGAAACACGAGCAGAAAATGAAGGTAATAATATAACTGATTTTCAAAAATTTTATGTGTTTTTTCAATCTTTTTAGAACATGTTATATCATGTATAGCTTCATTGGTAAGGAATTGCAATGGTGCAAATCGTCAACGTTTATTAAATAAGTTTACTGAAAATGATCATGAAAAAGTAAATAGATTCTTGATCATCATTTATATCTAGATCAATGGAATTTATTATTTAAGGTTGATCGTTTAATGGAACTTCACTTTCAATACTTCGAACGTGTAAAAGAAGCTGATAATAGTATTGAACAAGATCAAGAAGAAGATGAAGATGAAATTTATCTTCGACGATTGGACGCAGGATTATTCACTTTACAGTTGATTGATTATATTATCATAGAAATAGCTTCATCAACAACAAGTATTCCATCGATACGACAACGTGTTTTACAAATTCTCAATTTGAGAAGCACTTCAATTGATACGATTAAAAATCTTATACGCGGTAAGATATATGTATAAATGTATCACTTTTTGTAATATTGGTTTAAGCATACACATCGATTCCATACGTCCTTTGAACTTTATCAATATGTCCGCAGGCAATATTATAAATTAATTTCTTAATTTGAGATTGATTGATTTCATTTCTCAGTCGATAATCGACTTAGACCGATCTGCATTTTGTCTATAACTTTCAAACAATTATTCGATAGGACATATTAGAATGGATTAATAGCATTTTCACTTAAATGAAAGCTCGTCTAATTTCGAGTTTGATACTAAATGCATAAATAATGTATATAGTTTTCTTTATTTTTTTTTTTTTAAGAATATGCAACTAATTTGGGAATGACAAAGAAAACAACTAGTGGCGATCATTCATTAACAGATGCTACAAGCAATGGAAATAGTGACGATCCACATAAACAACATCTATTGGATTTACTTGAAAAATTCTAAAATTCTTTTTTTCTATTCTTTTCTGTATCCTATACACGTATGTGATGTTGTGAAGTAAAACTATTCTCGTATTAAATCTTTATATCTATTGTCAGACGAATGAACAATAGATATGTCATACATATATATTTCTCTTTTTAAAGTAGACGGCCGATATGATACCGATAGACAAAGAACTAAATTGCACATTGTTTATATTTTCTTTTGCTCTGATTCGACGTATCATGTTTTCCATATGATTTCTTTTCTCTTTCTGTTTCTGTTTCACTCACTCGATTAACAACAGGTACCAATGCAACAAGAAGTCGTATCGTTGATGAATCTTCATACGGATGATAATAAGACTGATTGTTTTAGTTATGTTGTGAAACGGTGTAATATTTATGCTGAAAATCTTGGTATTATATTTCAAAAAGTACTCTGTAGACCGTGGCCAATATTATCAAAACAATCGATACGAAAGAAAAGGAACCAAGTAAATATATTTATGTACCATATGCTTTGTTTAATCTACTTCAAAAAAGAAAGCTCTCATCAATGATTAGTTCCTCCGATTAACTATTAACGATTCAAAACACATCCACACCCACACACTCTCTCTATTCATTAGTAAATTATACATCGCAGCGCTTGTCAGAATTCCAGCGAAAAACTTATTTGCAAACGACGCCCCCCCCCTCGGGATTTATCATGACATTGCGATGTACGTAGTGAATAGATAAGATTAAATGAAAGTAGTTGCACATTTTTGAGTATGACTATAGAAAACAAAATTCTATAGTTTATATTCTGCTATATTCATGTAAAAGCTTTATTTATCTTTCTTATGCGCATCAAAAAGTACGGAGTTGCAAAGAAACTTCCCGTCTTCTGCATAACACATCATCATTCTATGAGATTAATATATAACTCTAATATTTACAAAGATGTTAGAGTGATCGATATATTGAATCAATAGTTTGCTTAGGTGCAGAACTTTTTCTATTTATGAATTCTACTAAGCCTAATGTACTAAAGATTTTTTACCATCAACACTTGTCTACATGTGCTGATAAATAATGCCAATTTGTTAAGAGTTTACATTCTGTCATTAGACGCTTTATCACTATTATTAAGCATATTTATAATAATGGCCACATGGTTGTATCTTCTTTAATTAGTTGTTAACTCAGTGAGAAAGAAATATTTTTTTAGAATATAACTGTATTCCACAGAAACAACTGCATACGAGATACAAGGACAATTCAAGTTTTTCTATTCTTATATATTCCATTGTTAATCATTTGCTCCAAAAGTATTGACATTGAGTGGGCCGATGCATATTCATCTGCAAAGCAATCCATCTTTCCGTTCTTGCTTTCTTCTTTTTGTTTTTCGGGTATTATTGATTGATCGCTTTAGTTGCCTGTGCCCACGTTCGATAAGAACACATACGTTGTTTCTTTTGTTTCAAGTTTTTAAGATTATGAAAATTAAACTATGGGAGCCGATAAAACATGTGATCACTTTTTCTTTTTAGTAACTTATATATCTTTCATTTCTTTTTTCATTTCTTTTGTGATAACTTGTTCACATTACAGGAGGTAGAAATTTTTAATAGATCTGTTCAAATGTCTAAACTAGATTATTTACTACAGTAGAGAATTCGCTGTCACACGAGCGTCGGTCATATTTTTCTTTTTACTCGTACAGGTTTTCGGTTCTTCTTATTTCCATATGCTACACGCGCCCATAACGCCTACGCTCCAAGCATCAGTCGCTGTCGGTGATTATAATATTTTTTCCTTGCTTTCTTCGATGAATTTTTTTCTTTTCTTTATTACCCCATAAAATGTCACTCAGTATTCTGTTTTTTTTTCTTCTGATTTTTATCCCTCATTCTTGTTTGCGTTTAATAGAGTGACGGAGCAACGCTGGGCTCTGAGTAACATAGAGAGTACTTTTTTTTCTTCGTTATTTTCTTCTTAATAGTATGGGGGTGTTTTTGTTTGCTGTCTCTTGCATAGCATGTCTCGTGCACAAAAAGAGCCGGATATTACTGCGTTCCAACATGTTCCAAAGAAGAAAAAAAAGATAGATTATTGGAGTTGTTAGTCTTATTTCTTTCTTTTTTTTAGAAATTGTCCAACTTTCATCCTTGTGAAACAGTCACATCGATAGATATTATATCAATTTTTCAATCGAGTAATATACGTCAACAATCATTAACTGTAGCATCAATTCCACCAAATACATCCATAAAAACATCTAAACCACAAATATCAAGACAATTATTGGAGAGTTTAGTGACAGCAATTGACTCAAAAATGCCTTTAGCACAAAATTATAAAGATGATGTATCACTACTTGAATCTGAGACTGCTTTATCAAAAGCAAAAACGACTTGCAACACTATGGACTTCAACATATGCCAAGAAACTGACCTAAAAATTGATGTAAGTTAATATTTGTATATTATTTATTCTATTGTGGAGTTATTAACTTCAGCTGATTTTAATCTTTGATAAAAAATATATGTCAATAATTTCCATCCTGCAATAATGTTAGTTTAATGTTCAGATACATTTCCGGAGTTCTAACTGTGCAAAAGAAAAAAACGTGATTCCTTCTTGCTTCATGTAAAATCTATTTTGATTAGTATGTAACTAATAGTTAATGCTTTCGTAGTGGTTATTGGCTCTCTTATCATTCCATTCATATATGAGATATTCTTCCAAATGAGTAAATTTGGTATCTCATCCGATGGAAACATCAGATGAAACTAGTAACATATGGCAAGAGAAATGTTTTTTTCAGAAAACATATGCATCAATATGTCATACGGTATCATGTACTTAATCTATAAAAAAAAACTTTTGCATTCTACACATGCGTATGACAAATCAAATAAAAAACAACTCGATGGTAAAATTAATAGGAATATTAAAATTTGTTATATTTTCTAAACGCTGAAAAATATATCAGTTAAGATCTACAGGTTGTTTTCTATCACATATTTAGGATCTTTTTTTTTATTTCTTATATAACTTTTGTTTAAAAATATATTCGAAGAAAATATTCTCTAACAAATATTCTAGTTGTATCTGTTTAGGTAGACAGGTTTCAAAGTATCATATTGTTAGAATATGAACTCTTATAAAGAAAAAATGAATGAAATCGATATGCATATCTTTCTCCAGATTCCATATATTCCGATGACTGGAGAAGTTTATTTATTAACCATGAGCTCATACTATTATTAATTGTGGCTTCTAACAGTCATTTTTTTTTACTTCGACAAAACTTTTTTCCTACCTATTCTTATACGATTATAAATACTAATATGAAATGCATTCATTAACTTCTGTCTATTCTATTTTTAAATAGACTTTTTTTAGTTTTATTAAGATTTTTATTATTTTTCCTTCCTTTTTCTCTCATTAATTTATATAAATACAGGGGGTAACAAAATTATAGACCTCTCCCCGCTATATTTCACACAAAACAATTAACTTTTTGTTTTGCATGTGAGCCTATTTATTGATTTGATGTGCTCATTCAACAGATCTATATATGTGATGCATTAAGATGTGCTTACCGGGTTTTGTTCTTCTCTGATACATGTGTAGAAATGGAAAGGAACAAAAAGATGCTGTGACATAATTATAGGCCCCCTAACGAAAAATTCATACTCTCTTCTTTTAAAACGCGTCTAATATTCAACTTTGATATAGTGTCGCACTACTAATTGCAATTTATCTTTCCTGTTCTATTTTACGTCTGATTAAATTAAAATCTCTAGATTTTCGGTATTTTGTTTGCTTTCGCCATTTTCTAGTCTTATTCAGTCAAGAGATTATCTTTTCACGATCTTGGTGAAATGGAAACTTAGAAAGTAGAAGTAATGTCTCGAGCCAACATCATTAGAGTCGAAATCATGACATAAAAAATGAATTTCAAAAGAATTTCGCTTCAAGAACCAACTAAGGTCTTGTGTTTTGTAAAGGACTCTACAAAAGACTCTAGATAATGGGCATCATGCTAACTCAAAAACCAAAACAAGCAGCATAGTTGAAAAGAGCACACCTTGGTTTACTTGAAACAGTCAAAACGTATTTGAAAAAAAGTTTCTTAAAAACGTTAGGATTTTATCTATGATATTTACTAATTTCCATAGCATAGTGAAAATGGAGATCAATAAAATCCGTTGCCGGCGCTTGATCACAACGTTTAAACGAATTTCTCTCACTTTCTGAGTAGAATACATATTCACTATTAACAAAAAAATACGACAATTCTGTCTGACTTCTCTATGGACTGTTCTAGTGGCGCTGCATTGGCAAGAGCCATTTTCACTAAGTTATGATAATTAGTAAATATCATAGGTAAAGTCCTAACGTTTTTAAGAAACGTTTTTCAAAAATATTTTGACAGTTTCAAGTATAACAAGGTGTGCTCTTTTCAACTATGTTGCTTGTTTTAGTTTTTGAGTTAGCATGATGCCCATAATCTAGAGTTTTCTGTAGAATTCTTCACAAAACACAAGACCTTACTTGGTTCTTGAAGCGAAATTCTTTTGAAATTCGTTTCTTATGCCATGATTTCGACTCTAATGATGTTGGCTCGAGACGTTACTTCTACTTCCTATGTTTCCATTTCACCAAGATCGTGAAAAGATAACCTCTTGGCTGAATAAGACTAGAAAATGGTGAAAACAAACAAAATACCGAAAATCTAGAGATTTTAATTCAATCAAACGTCAGATAGAACAGGAACAATAGATTGCAATTCGTAGTGTGACACTATATCAAAGTTGAAGATCAGATGCATTTTAAAAGAAGAGAGTATGTATTCTTCGTTAGGAGATCTATAACAGAGCTCTGAGTGGAACGAGATGGGACGAGCATTTTTAAAAAATTTTAAACAGACAAGAAAGAATCAAAATCTCTTTCGATATGATTCTATGATATGAATACTATCGCTATCCATTAAAATTACGATCGTTGTGTTAGATGACTTTTAAAAGCTTGTATTCGTTTTTTTAAAATATTTTTGGTAAATTGAACAACATATACCGAAAATGTTTTAAAATATGAGGAATAAAATTTGAAAGCGGTCACTTACGTCAATAAATATAATTTTAATGGATAAAGATGGTGAGCATATAATAGAATCACTTCGAAAGAGACTTCGATTCTTTCTTGTCTGCTTAAAATGTTCTAAAAATGTTCGTCCCCTTCCGTCCCACGCGGAGCTTCGGTCTATAATTATGTCACAGCATCTTTTTCTTCCTATCCATTTATACACATGTATCCGAGAAGAGTAAAACCCGGTAATCACATCTTAATGCATCACATATACAGATCTGTTGAATGATTGTATCAAATCAATAAATAGACTCACATGTAAAACAAAAAGTTAATTGTTTTGTGTGAGATATAGGGAGATGGTCTATAATTTTGTCACTCCCTGTATTTATATTAGTATAAAAATAGCGTTCCGATTAATTATTTTCTTTCACATTTAGTTAATTATGCTTTTCATTAATTTTGAAAAAAAAAGAGAGCTAATAAAACATTTTACTTGAAGAAAAATATTTCTATTTTTACAACCTACATAGACAGTAAATCTAACTATTAGGCATTGTTTGACTACATATGATATTCACGAAATAGTGCGTGGGAGGGCTAATGAAGTTCTAAAAGGTTGGTTTCATAATATGTGCTAATGAAGTGACATAATCGATTTACTGATAGTTTAATTGAGACAAATTCCTATTCTAAAAATTAAACAGAAATTTTCTTATGAGTTCAATTTATATCTATTAATAATTTCAATAATTAGTAAATAGATCTGAAAAGTTTGATGGAAAATGAACGTAAATTTTTCTTGAGATTTAATTTCAAAAATAGACAAAAAGATAATTTAACATAGCAGAATATTATAATCTAATTTAATTATACATAAATATATATATTGTATATCTCAAGAGAGCGAATGCTATGTTCGTTGAAACTGTGTGAACTAGTGCGTGAATGTGAAATCTACTAATAATTAATACATCCATTGAAAACTGTTTTCTTTTCATTTTATATCAGTCATATCTTGCTTTTAGTAAAATAGCTATTCATTTTCATTGGTAGACTATGAGCATGAGCATATTATTAGTATCATCATGGTTTACTAGTAGACGTAACATTGTGTTAAATTAAGTCTGGTTGTTGGATATGCTCATTTCTAAGCCATGCTGATACGAATACCAGCTGGATAAACAGTACTGTTATGAGTAGTCTCAGTGGAAATAAATAATGCAAAATATCAAGAACACTTTCTTGTTAGCAGAGATGACTTGGAATTTTTTATTAAATTTCATACTGAGACAAAATATTTCTATACTCTATAGACAGCAGTTCGGGACTGTTGACTCGAATGAGTTTGGTTTACTTTCATTTTCAGTCTCCATAATAATTCTAATATGTAATTGCATTTTTCCTCTCGATAAAACACCTTCGCAAGTTAGAATTATCTTATAGAAAGCGACTTTATGGAGATATATTAGAAAAAGCGATTCGATATTATTATTTATTCATGTAACACAAAATCAGATATAGTAGGCTCTTTCCTTCGTGTGATTGTATCGATAGTTGTACTCCAGCCGATGACCTTTTCTATTAATCGACCAAACAAATATGCACATACTAATAAGTTCTTCTTGCCTTATTTATTCTTTTGTGCGTTGAATATATGAACAAATTCAGTAATCAATCGTATGCTTAAGTGAATTTAACGATGATTATTACTGCAACATAAATCGAGTTGTTTCTGCGAATAGATTAATACTTACAGAGAAAAATAAAATTTTACTTAATATGATTCATTTAAAGGATTAAACTAGGTGGTATTCGAGTTTCACTCGACTACGAAATGCGGTGCGACGCACACGAGCCGAATATTCGAAAGTAGTGAGAATAAGATTTAAAAAATAAATGATCGACTTTAAGATTCATTAAAATCGATTATTTTTTTTAAATTTCCGTATACGAATTTTGAATAAAAATTTCGCATTCACTATTCTTAAATCGACCATTTTGAATTTCATCACTAGGAGATCTTTCTGAAAATGTAACAACCGGTTTTCTAACGATTTTTTTCATTGAACGATTAATTATTTTCATGAATCATTATCTTGAATCAGATGTAAAGCAATCCCAGTGAAAAATATTACTAAAAAAGAACGGTAAAGAATGCGTTCCAAAAGAACTGAAGCTCCTTTTTTAAGAAAATAAAACGTTCCATAACAAATGGAAACCGTTCTCAAATGGAACGAACTAGAACGCATTCTATCATTCTAAGAAGGTGTTCTTGGTCGTTTCTAAATGAAACAGTGAAGAACGCATCAGAGAGCGAATCGAACCGACTTTTGCTGATTTGAGTTCGGTTCGGTTCGTCTTTTTTTT